ATGGTTGTGTTGTTCCCCTACCCGCACCCTGGCGGGATGAACAACACTCCCTCTGAATATGACCCCTCAATTTGTACCTGTAACATATAGGTAAGTCCATGTAGCAGATCCCGGAGTGCATCTTCCCACACCTGGGGCATGGGGGCCTCCGCTACTGTAGGAATCTCCCTCCTGATCGGCCGTGATGGTGGGGTCCCCTACTACCCTGATTGGGCCTGAAGCGACTCCCCTGCTGCTAACTGTACCCCGCTGGTGGTGCATTGGCTGAAGACTGAGCATAATACTGGGATGGCCCTGATGACCCTCCCCTGAAAGCTAATCTTCCCCCACCAAATGACTCCCCAAAATTGCCCGCGGACCGGGCCTTGCCGGTACCCTCTCGCTCCCTTCTGTTCTTCAACTTATGGTCCTCTGTAGCTTGAGCAAATGCTACCATTTTCCCATAGTTCATATTTGAATTCAAGGCAGCTGCAGCGGCCTCATTGATAACCAAGGGGCTAAGGCCCTGCACAAACCGGCGCACTCTACCCTCCATAGTAGGCAACATGTGAATAACATATTTTGACAAGCGCGCGAACTCCATATGATACTCCCACACACTCCTACTCCCTTGCTTAAAATCTGTAACACGGGCTGCCCTAGTTTTGGTAGGCAATAAATGGTCTATAAAAGGCATCAACAAACTCACTCCACCTCAATTGAGCCCCTCTCTCTCTCTCTCTCTCTCACTCTAGGACCCTCTCTCTCTCTCACTCTAAAAATGTGAGAAAATATGTTCAAAATGGTCCAAAGTAGGTGTTTTAATGGAATATGGTCAGGTTTAAAATCCCAAAAATGAAGCTCATGAACGGGTTTTGCGATCACATATACGACCGCATAATGGTTATGTTGTCCACGAAATGACCGCGAAATTGGGTGGCAAAACTGAAAAGAAACTGACTTGGTCTGCGGTCACTATGCGGCTCGCAAACCTGTTCTGCGGTCGCATAATGCAACGCATAACGGTTCTGCGGTCACATAGTGCAACGCAGAACCTCCCTCCGAAAAAGTCTAAGGATGATTATGCGACAAGAGTGTGGCCCGTGAAATGGTTATGCGTTCGCATAATGGCCACGAAATTGACATCAAAATGCCCCAGAAAACTGTCCCACTCTGCGACCAGTCTGCGGTCCGCAGAGTTGTTCTGCGGCCGCAGAAATGCTTACTTTTGTCCAACATTTTTCTTCAACTCCCCAACGCACTGTTCAATCCAAAAAGTCCGAAAGAATTTTTACTATTATTAACCTCTACACCTACTTTGAGATCACAAAATCCGAGTTTTAGGAAAGAAAAAAAAATTACGGGGCCTTACACCTAAATACCATTATCATTGATTGAATACATAGTCCAAAATTTGGGTACACTTTATGTCCCAATTACAACCAGTGATACCGAATACAATGTGTTGTTATCGCACCTTAAACGATCAACCCGTAATACCATTCCAAACCCACAACATAAATATCATAACTATCACCAAGCGATATTGTTTCCACCTTTTAGCATTAAGTACAGTTGCATCATTCTTTTTGACCATCTTCAACAACCCTTATAGCTTGATTTGGAAATTGAGGTTCATACCACATAAACAATTTGCATCCACCTTTCTTCTGCAAAAAACAGACCAAAAAAAGATACAATTTGTAAAATCAATAAATAATGAAGAACAATTCAACAACGATAAATTCATGTGCTTACTTCGTCAATTATGTAGCGATAAAATCGACGACCTGGGTTTCTCTCTGGCCATAATGTTTTCAATAGAGCATTGATCCCACAGTGACAAATAATCCGTCCATTTTGTGATTTCATTGTCCTTTGGAAAATCAAACCAGATGAACTGCCAATTACATTTACATCGAGTCACTACAGAAAAAAGAAAGAAAGAAATATAAGAAAAACCCATGCCAATAAAGAGAAAAGAAAGAAAGAAACAGAAGAAAATCATTTACTTGTTTGAGCCTTCAGTTACGGGTTTGAAACAACAGAAAGATATTGAGAAATTTCATCTTGGATCTTCGATCTCCTATGTTAGAAACGACCTAGTTTTTTTTTTTTNAGGAAATAGGTTCACATAAATTGAAACAGGGAGTAATAAATATTAATAAAAATGTCTAAACATTAGTTAGAGTTACAAGTAACATGGAGTTAAAAATCAATTACTTGTTCGAGCCTTCAGTTACTGGTATGAACAAGAGAAAGATATTGAGAAATTTTAGCTTGGATCTTCGATCTCCTATGTTAGAGACGACATAGGGTTTATTTAGGGGGAAAATATGGTAGATTTTCGGGTTTGGGGAAGGGATTATAAAGAATCCGCTTTTTTACCGTTGGAATCCTCCATGTCAGCAAAAAAATCAAACTTTACGCGCCTATTTTTGTTTAAAGTCGCGTTATATTACAAGTCAGCAGTCTGTGTTTAATTGACACACATGGGAGGATGTTCGCGTCCCTGATAGGAAAGAGCCAAACTTTACGTGTCCATGTGAAAATCGGTGCCAAATTTCGGTCCCTGTCTATGTATTTGGCCAAAGATAAAAGGTTTTGTTAGAAAGATGCACTATTAAGCATTGTATGTATGTGTGGGACAATGTTGTACTTATTGGAGGGCTGCCTATGGATGTGAGGTTGGTGGAGTAGAATGTACGGGAGTTGCTAGGAATGTCGGCCTTTGTCAAGAAGCTTGTGTCCACTTTAATCAACTTCAACAAGATGCTTTATTTTCATTATCTCTGTTAACAATTATAAGGTGAAAAAGAACAAGCAGAAGAGCAACATACATAAATCATCAAAGGGTTTGGTGGGATCAATATGATCTCTACTTTTAAATAAGGGTCACGAACTCGAGTCCCGTGAACGTTTTCCCCTTAAATGAGTCTTATGCTGTATGAATTTGAATTAGTTAGAACCCCAATACAAGCATCTAGTGGAAGACAAAAAAAAAAAGAAGCAAATGTATATATGAGCATGGCCTACTCTTGGAATATATGTACATCAATTTACCATAAAAAGTAAAAATAAAATGATTCATTTCAACACACCACTTCTACCACATCAAACCTATATCATTGACTCAATTTTGTTTAATTCCCTTAGAAATGCGTAATGCTAACAATACTACGTTAAAGCAATAATCCTTACTGAATCGTACGTTCTATGTATTTTCTTATAAAAAGATAAGGAATCTGATTTTTCTGAATATAAGGATATATAGGGTGTGTTTGGTATGAAAGAAAATATTTTTCGGAAAATATTTTCTCATTTTTCACTATTCGGTTGCATAAAATAGTTTGGAAAATATTTTTCTAGATATCACATTTTCCTGAAATTGAAGGAAAAATACTTCCCTAGAAAAAGTTAGGAAAATATTTTTCAAAAAACTCCACTCATCCTCACATCTAACCCCAACCCCCTCCAAATTCAATTTTCTGTTTTTTTTTTGTTTTTTTGCGCCACCCACCCACCCCAATTTTTTTTGTTACTTCTATTTTTGCATTTTTTATTTTCTGTTTTCTGCACCACTCACCCACCTCAACCCCTCCCCTAAAATTTTTTATTTTATTTTATATTTTCAGTTCTTATTTTTTCATTTTTCAGTTTACAGGTTCAAAATTTTACAAGTTCCAAAATTATGAGTTCGGAGGTTTATGTGTTTGGAAGTTTGCGAGTTTAGAAATTATAGAATTTTCGAGTTCGAAAGTTTGCGGGTTCGAAAGTTTAGCGGTTCAGAAGTTTATGAAATTTGTGGGTTCGGAAGGTTGTTGGTTCAAAAGTTTATGGCTTCATGTTTATTGTATCTAAATTATTTATGAATACTCTTGAGAAGTTATTTTCCTTAATTTGCGTACCAAACACCAAAAAATGAGTAAGATTACTTCTTGTTTTCCAAAACATTCGTTATACCAAACACACCTGTAGAGTAATGCAATCACAACCTTTATAATTTGCTTGAAACTCACATTCTTACTTACGCCAGAAGATTTGTCTAATGCTAATTAATTTCCTCGTCAAGATCACCAACATTACATAACCGTCTTTCTCTCATCAAACCGAGCAAAATTTCCAAATATCTTATTAAACTTCTTCATTTTTTCTCAATGATGTAATATAATGTAATAGATTTTTTTTGAACAAGCAATATGATATATTATTGAAGGGGAGCCTGCCTGGAGCAACAGTAAAATTGTCTCTGTGTGACATATAAGTCATGAGTTTAAGCCGTGCAAGCAATAATTAATATTTGTATTGGGACATGTTGTCTACATCACACCACTCGGGATACAACCCTTCCCCAAACCCTACGTAAACGCCATATACTTTATGCATCGAGATGCCTTTTTAATATTTTTTTTCCCTCAATTTTCAGCTGCCCTTTTAATATGATATAATATTATAGATGTACACACATTAGCACAAATAGCACTTGGGGTGCACTAGCAAAGTAGGGTGCTCTGCTTCTATTACACCTTATTGAAATCAAATAGCTTGGTGGGCGTTTGGAAGTATTGTGAAATTTCGGAAAAAAGTGAACAAAATTCAAGTTGAAAATGAAATTTAAAAATTAAAGTTGTGTATGGACATAAATAAAATTTAGAGCCGCTTTTGAATTTTTGTGAGTGTTTTGAAGTAAAAAATTTTAAAAATGACTTTTTGGAGTTTTTCAAATTCTAATTTTTTTTCGAAATTCAACTTTAAGTGAATTTGAAATGGCCAAACACTAATTTCGAGAAAAGTATAAAAAAAATTGAAAAAAAGAAATCTTTTTTATTGCCAAACGTGCCCTTAGACTCTTTGACTAAAATAACTAAAAAAAATGTGGTTAACATTTTTAATCCCTTAAGTTTGTCAAGTTGTTAGTTGGACTAAAAGGTGTTCTACTTTGTAAACATAAGGGACTAAAGATTATTAAGAGCATACTTAAAGGACAAATATAGACCTAACCCTCACAGAAAGGGACAGTTTTGGCTAAAAACTGGGACCTAAATTCTGGTTTTTGGCCCGCCGCCCTCGAAATAGCTCTCCGGCGTCAAAACTCAAACGTTCTTCTCTCCGTCACTTTCTCCGGCGAACACTTATCCTCTCTCTCTCTCTCTCTCCGGTGAAATCGAATTGTAAGTTCCATCCTTTTCTCTCGTTTTCGCTGTCCACTCTTCAATAATCTTCTCCTTCTCTTATGAAACAAAAACCCTAAACCCCTTTCCCTATGAATTCTAACTTTAGAGTACGAATTGTCACTTTAGTTAAAGTGATTTGCTTTGGATCCGCATAAAGAAAAGGAGTCCGATTTCTCATAGCTTTTGTAATTTACACTAGTTAACTTGCATTTGTATTTTTTCCCGGTGAAATTAACTGCTTCTAAGTTGTGATATTGTACTGATCTTTGAGTTAATTGATCTACCCAATCTGTCTTTTAATTTTAATATGTTTACATTTCTCCCTATAAACGGGGAAGTAACACTATGTTTGGATCATTGTTACCCATCGTTTTATAATATATTGTATTGTATTGTATTGTATCGTTTTATAGATATAATGTTTGAATAGATTGTATCGTTTGCTGTTGTTAAATAATATTTTTGTTGTTTGGTTTGAGTGTATCGTACTGCACTGTAACTGATAAGTTCACTAAAATACCCTCAATTGTTTTAAATAAAATTTATCAAGAATTACACATAAAAATAATTTAAGACAACCTCTTTCTATTAATTTATCATTAATTACGTGGCTTGAAAACAAGAGCAAAAACCTGAAAAAAAGGTTAACTAATATTAGCACCAAACAAAATTTAAAATGATACAAAAGAGATAAAGAATCGAACGGAGACTTGGATAAAAAGAACGGGGCAAACAAACTCTAGAAAAGATGGAAGAAGACAAAGTAGGTCAATAAGTTGGAGATTTGGAGTTAAAATTAAAAAAAAATGATAAAATAGAATTATAGAGTAATAAGTAAGGGCATAATTGGAAAAGAAAATAGGAAACGATCCCACCACAGCAAATCGGTTATTTCATAAAATGGGGCTTTTGGTTGATCCGGAACAATAGATTTAACAATACGATACAATTAATTTTAAATAAACAATCAAAACAAACATTGTTTTGGGATAACAATACAGTACGATACAATGAGTAACAACCAACCAAACAAGCTCTAAAGGAAGCCACAGAAGAAGAAAAAAATGAATTGCTAAATGTTGAGATTAGTGGTTGAATCTAATTGGACATCTCTCTGTTTTTTTTGCTTTGACAAATATCTGAATTGCTAAATGTTGAGATTAGTGGTCGAATCTAATTGGACGTTTCTTCTACTTCTTGTCATATGAAAGTGATAAGCTTCTTTTAATAACAGAAAATACTTGGTCATCTATTTATAGGGTTGATTAGAAGGATTGCTGGAAATGGATTTTACATGCAAAGAAAGTAATGCGGAGGACTCTTTATCACCTGGAGTATTTGAGTTACCTGGAGAGCCGGCTGTCGTTATTAATGGGTTACCTCCCATTTCTTCAAGTGCTGACACCGTTTTACCCTGCCCAACAGTTACAAATGCAGAACCACGTAAGAATTCTGGTTTTGGGCAATGGCTTGAAGGAAGAGAAGTTCGCAAGTTGTTTGGGGACCAGTATTACTTTGGGAAAGTTACTGAATTTGATGAGGAAGTTGGTTGGTTCAGGGTGAAGTATGAAGATGGTGATTTTGAAGATCTTGAGTGGCATGAGTTGGAACAAATTCTTCGGCCTTTGGACATTACTATTCCGTTGAAAACATTAGCCTCAAAGATCATTAAGAGGAAGCAGAGATCTACTCAGAAGTCTGGAAAATCTGGGGGTGGAACTAGAAATCAAGGCGTAAAAATGAAAAAGACAGTGTTGGCTATTTCTTGAATTTATGTGAGAAACTCCCGTCATGTCAAACGTGGCATGGTATGTTTAGCTCCTATGGATAGAACAGCATATTTTCCATCTTCATGAGCAAGCCATGAGAATTTTGAAACATCATGTAGAGAATGGTTAGTAGGTATAGTCAGGTGAGTTGAGTATCCCTGTAATTATATCGACTTCATTTAGCACATTCATTCAGTCTAGTCTATATTAGTCCAAAAGCATCATTTTTGAAATTTTTGGTTGAGTATCAAGTGAAGAATTGGTCCCCAATTTGCTTGGTCGCATCATCTCCGGGAGTCATTTCTGGAAAGTCGCATAATATGGATTTCATTGGTTGGATACTGAGTAAAGACCAGGGATGGTGTCTTTAAGATGCTGAGGACTGATGGCTCTACAACAGCTGGGACGAGGTTACTGTTGGACATTCGCTTATCCGTGGAAGGTTTCTGCCACATCTTCGTCTCTGGCTGATTGTAATAGTTGTTCCTTTTGTTGGGCTTGAACTTCATGTGGTAAATTGCGCAGGACTAATGAGATTCAATGACCTTCATCAGTTCGAGTCTCCAAAGCGCTTTCAATGGCATTTCTTTCATAGCCCGATGTGCCAAGAAGAGTAATTAGATGTATAATCACGGAGATCTTGTATTAATGCCCTTCTTACATCGAGTATGTGAGGAAGAAGCCTCTGCTTGCTTAAGTTATGAATTTTAATGACGACGACTTAGAGACTCTCTGTTGGTGACACTTTTGATCGACGAACAAAGTTCCGCGGAATGCCAATGTCTGTGCTGCAGTAGGGCTATGCATGATTTCATGCCTATTGGTGTTTCTTATTTTTACTGCTAGTTGGAATTTGGCGCTCTATTTGCCATTGCTTAGTACATTTAGCTAATTTTTCTAGTTGACAGACGTCTTTTAGAAAGTAGTTTCTGTGGTCAATGGTCAGTCAACCAGATTACATTTGTTCAATAATTTTTATCTTGAAAAAGAGATGATACCAGTACCCCGTTAATTCATGTTTTGAGAATGATATATTGTGTAATTTACTTTGGAGAAAAAGAAATACGAATATGTTTTTCAGTTTGATATTCTCATTTTTTGTTGTATAAACCAACTAAAATGAAGCGCCAAAAGAAAGATCAAATAAAATAGAAGTAATTTCTTAATAACTCATTTCAATCTAAAACAAACATAAAGTCATTTGCAAAAGAGAGAACTAGGTCAACGGACAATGGGTTTGGCAGACTGCAGCTCAACGGAGTCAAGTTTAGAGTAAATTCAAAGTTTTTGGGATGCAAATTAGTGAAATTCCTCCAAAAAAATGGAGTTGTACTATGACCATGTATCAAACAAATTTTAAATATAATCATTTTAAAGATTTTCTATTGTAGAATTGTGATTCGTAATATTTTTTATGTAGCTCTAAAATTGTAATAATTATCTCAACCCTTAGATACATCGATCCTTGTACTTTGATTGCAAGATTTTATAGGGAGGTTTTAGAAAGGAGATAAGATGAAAATCTTCCTTAGCCTAATCTAGAAAAGCAACTAAATTCCACTTCCCACCTAATTAATACTACTACTATTCTGGCAATGTCAACAAAAAAAAAAGATAAAGAAAAAAGGAATAACAAAAACACACACACTATTATATGTATCTGATTTCCACGACTACATCATCTAACGACTCAAATTATTCCACGTCAGCATCGTCTTCCTCCTCCTTTCCTTGCCTTTTTAACAAACGAAAACGCTTCGTTTTCTTCCTTTCTTGTTCACTCTGCCTCTCTACTCTTTTTGTCTCCATAGCTTCTTGTAGTTTCTCTTTATTCTTCTTTCTCTCTGTTTTTTCTTTTTTATAAGTATTTGATTTTCAGATATTTTAACAGTCAAAAATCAAAAAGGAAAATTTATACGATTTTCCCAATCCAAACAAGGCAGAGAACACGACTAATTTTTGTTCACTAATTTCTGTAGCAAAATGTGGTACCTTTGAATGTTGAAGCGTCGATACCATCGCCCCATCACTTCAAAAAAGACTTCCCATTAATAAGTTAGTGAAGGTGAGATTAGCATTATTTTTGTATGTTGGTTTTATTTTCTTTAAGTTTAATGTGGTAATGATGAGTATTCACGTCATGTTTTATGTGTGTGTACACTGACATACATGTATAGCATGTTTATGTATGCATGTAAGGGTTCTTTATAGGGATGTTTTTTAGAATAATGACACATAAACTTATTATATACTCCCAATTTTATATGCTCACTTTGATTGACAGAGATTAAGAATAGGGTTGGAATAATTTTTGTGGTTTAAGAGGAGCTTAAAGTTATATATAAATGTACTTCTCTATTTTGGTGAATATTGAGACTATGATCATTTGGTTTTTTTTAAAAATAAAAAATTTGGACTTTATAGTACCCGTGTTATTAAAAGTCACCGCTTTGACACTTAAAGTGATGAAGCGAGTGAAGTGAGGGGTTCTCGCTTCACTCCCTTCACTTTAGTGTCATTGTTTACATTTCAAACAATGACATGCAAAGTGATCCTAACCAGAAACGGTCGATTATTTGAATCTCAACTTTGTGGAGTTAGATTAATATCAACATATGGTAAATTGGATGCTAAATTAGTTATTTCGATTACAATTTGATTGTTGTAGTACTAAATTCATATATATTTGGTATTTTTTATTTTCCGTAATTTGTGCGCTTCATTTCTCACATTTCACTTCAAGCTCCATGAAATTTGTCGCTTCTTGCTCTTAAAAACACTTAATAGACTGAGTGTATTTGGTATGACGAAAATCCATCTTCTAGGAAAATGTTTTCCACGGGGTGATACCATGGGTGGATGCAGCCTAGAGTTACCGGGTTCATCTGAACCCAGTACTTTCGACGCGGAATATAAATTTGTGTGTAAAAATTCATTAAAATTGCAACAAATAGTAGATATGAACCCATAAATTTAAAAATTAAAATGGGTTTAATGATAAGAACCTAAAATATTGAACCCATAAAATTAGAACCCTAGATTCGCCTCTGGGTGATATAGTATCGCATTGAAAGCTACGCAATTATGGACATCAATGAGAGGAAACAAATATAGGTTAGAGTAAGCAGAGAAATGTTCACATCTCAAGTGCATTAGCATACTTTTAACGATTCTGATAAGAAATGTGCTTACCCTTCACATTGTGTAGTTAGAACCAGATAGATATTACAAGTATCAGGTGTTTAAGCTGATATTGGAGTTTTCTTTTTTTGTCAGGATTTAGAAAATGAAGACCGTGAGTTGCAAAAACTTGACCAAAAAGACATCTGATGACATGCCTCATGACAAGAAAGACGTTCGTGCAGCAAAGATTCTGGTACAAATGGCCAAAGTGAAAGCCAGTTTTGCAAAGGATTTTCCATCTCTTCATGTTAAAGATGGTGTGGTTAAAGGTGGCTGCCGATTCAGAACAGGCAAGCTGATGAGGATAGAAAATGGGAAAAAATTAGACTTGCAATCTGAAAGAGCTACTATTGCAGAGAGAAAAAGTAGAAAGAGGACATTCCATTCACTTGAAATATCAGATCATCTTAATTTAACAAGTAGATCATGCAAAAGAAATCTACAGAAAGCAAAGGTTTGTTCTATTTATGATCATAATGCTTTAGCTACAATGTTGATAACAATTATAGTTGCAATGGATTGATAAGAAACTTCAACAGCCTTTTAAATCAGACGATCATAATCTTTTAAACTGAACATATTCCAAGTTTATAATGGGTGAATAAAGTTGATAATGGAGGGAAGAAAAAATTGCAGGAAATGGAGGACGAGACTGGTGCTTTTAGGGACTGGATAAATCCCTCATTTCAGGAACCACTAAAGAAGCTGCAGTCAACTTGTATTGTCCCCACTATCGCTGATACATCCTCATTTTCCATTATACATCTTGTCTACGCTGTCCGAACTGCTTTAATTACACCACTTGGAAAAAACAATAGCCTCATTTTTGGCAAGTATGTTGAAACCAACGAGAAGAAACAAAGAAAGCATTCTGAAGAGGTCAGTTGGATTGAGAAGCATGGTGGATGTTTCTCTGGATTGAAAGGATTTGTCCGGAAGAACTTACCTTCTCTTACTACACATGAAATTGTGGAGCGTGTGAGATTGAATCCTTGTGACTTTCATATTCTAGAAGCCGAGGAGCCGCTTCAGGATTTAGTCACTGGAGTTCTCAAAGTGTTCTCATCAAGAACATTACCAGTCGGAGCAAAATCACGAAAGGCACTTGTAGTATATGACAGGCATAGCAAAAGTTGGTCATGGATTGGTCCGCTCCCTTCCTTTTTACTGCATTCTCACCATATTGAGGAAGAAACATCTCCTCAGGCTTGGGGTCTTCCACACAAAACTCTCGTGAAAATGGTTGATTCGTTTGCTTACTGGTTGAAAGAAGGGCAAGAGATGCAACTAAAAATTGGTAGTCTTCCGAAACCCCCACGGGAGTTGATGCAACATATCAACTGTAGGGAAAGGTTAAAGGAATCGAGAGCTGTGAAGAGTCTTAGGACCATAAGTCCCTGCTGTGAGGCAGTAAGAGCTTATTTCCGTAGAGAAGAAACTCTAAGGTACACAGTACCTGACAGGGCTTTCTCATATACAGCCATTGATGGTCGGAGGTCTGTCGTTGCACCTCTGAAAAGTTATAGCGGAAAACCATCAACAAAGGTTCGTGATCACCATATTCTTAAACAAAATCGACCACTTCATTTTACTGTCCTTTGTTTGGTAAGAGATGCAGCTGCTAGATTGCCTGGAGGTGTTGGAACCAGAGCTGATATCTGCGTTTTGGTACGGGACTCTCAGTTCATTGTTGAGGACATCTCAGTTTTGCAAGTTAACCAAGTTGTTAGTGGAGCTTTGGACCGTTTGCACTATGAAAATGATCCGTGTGTAAAATTTGAGAAGAAATGGCGTCTATGGGCCTATTTACATGGTGATCGACAAGAAGAAGATTTTGAATACGACTCTACATGTTCTGTGAAGAGAAGGAAGAGGGCAAAGAAATGACCTCTGAAATTTAAGGAAGTGCTGATAATGTTTCAGAAAGTGCTAAGTTCAACCAATATATTCTTGTCTTTGTTGGAAGTGGTTCATCGGCCCTTTTCAGGAAGATAGTTAATGTTGGGTAACATATTTCAAGATTTCTGAGATCCTGTAAAAAAAAGATCAAAGTTTTTCAGCTGTAGTGGATTGAATGCTCACATCTCCTATTTATATGCTTGGGCCAAATAATGTTTTTGTATTGCTGCATCTTTTGGATGTTTTTTGTTTAATATAAGTATCATTACTTCATTTAAAAATGTGCTAGTTGGTTTACTAATAACTGCATAAATGATACGATACTAGTGTTTGTAGCGATGAGAACGTTAACAATATTCGTTTAGTTTTTTCTATAAGTTGTGATTTTGTTTTCCTTGAGCTAAGGGTCTATTGGGAACAACCTCTCTACCTGCACAATGTAGGGGTAAAAGGTCAGCATACACACTACACTGCTCAGACCCCACTTGTGTGATTACATTGGGGTACTCGTCATCAATCAAACAATAACAAGAGTATGTTTAGAGAGCACTCGCCATCAATCAAACAATAACAAAAGTATGTTTAGAGAGCAAATCTGCAAAACCTAGTGAGAGCCTACAACTTTGGAAATATAAGAAGTCACTATATATATCATATATATCAAAAGGTTGATATTTAGCTTTTCACTGAAAAGACTAAGCAATAACCTCTCCCATGAATTCTGACTACTAACAATGAATATAAGTTTTCATATCACTTGAAAAATGCACTCTACATGTAGTCAGAAACATTAATACAATTCAAGAAAGTAGAGAAAAATTATCAAAGATTTTGTCATGATATTCTTCCTCGAAAAAATACTCAGCACCTCTTATTTTTGCTTCCAATCAACAAAGCAAAATAGAAGAGGATCCTGTAAAAAATTCCCAAAGCAATGGTGATCCACAAACTAGTCCATTTGTCTAAATCATTCACCCCACTTTGCTTCAATATAGATGTTCCTGTTGTCAAACAATTTGAGTTTGTTATGTTCATCTCCAATATCTTGCTCATGTCTTGCAACAACTCAATCTTTAACGACTCAGTAACATCCTTCAATGGCGAGGCATTAAAAATCTGGATACCCTTTACAAAACACTTGTGTGGATCATCAAATTCATTCTGTAAAACCCCTTGATAAGGGTATTTCACTAGAGACATATAGTGAAACCAAATCCAATAAGGGCGATCTCATCTCGCCTGATGAAGAAGCCACTTAACAACAAAAAACAGCCAAAAATCCTGGTAACTAGTGTATAACCCACTATTCCATTGTAAATGAATCCGGAGAGAAATGTGATGAAGGAATTTGCAGTCCAAAATGAGACAAATATGAAGAGCAAGAAGAAAAGAAAACCCGAAAAGCCATGAGCAAGTCCCACAGACCAATAAGTTGTGACAGCAAATGCAAGGGAAAGGACTAATAGGGAAGGAATTGAGGTAATGGCATGGGAGAGAACATAAGAGGAACCGCGATAAGCATTATGCGCTGTCTCTCTCATGAAAATATCCCTTTCTTGGATGAAGACTAGCATGGCTTCAGCACAAATGTAATAGATTGTGGAAATGGCAAAGGCAAAGAAACCGAACCTTTCTTGAATCCCTTCTGGGGAATTGTCCAATTTCTTGAAGAGAGTACCAAGGATGATCCCAGTTGCAATAGAACCACCAAAATGAACGTAAAACAGCTCAGGCATTCTCACGGAGTTAAGTATAGATCTTTTTGCTATCACAACCATTTCTATCCAGAATGGATTAGCAAATTTTGCGACATCTAAGGAAGAAAGATTGTGGTCGATATTCGTTCCTCCTGAGACTAATTTTCCCTTTGAAACACTTGCACTTATGGCATCTTTCAATGATGGTTTAGGTCCATTGGAAAAGCTGGTGCAAGTTGGATTTTCTCTTTGCCATGACCTGTTGAATTCCACCAAATTCTTGGTTCCATTTGGGGTTCCTTCTACTTCTTGTATGAAATCCAGAGCAAACTCTGTTTGATTTGCATCTCTTGGAATTGGACTTCCCAATTCAGCAAAGAATTGAGGAAGTTTTGCAGGAGAGCCACTAAACACTCTCTGCCCATGTGAAAGCTATTCTGCTTGTTGGAAGGTTCGTCCGGATCTCTTCCCGGGTCAACCCACTCAATATCCGAGAGAGGGTAGGCTTTTGGCGGCCGCAGAGACGGCGGATAAGGCAGCGGATGATACGTACTTGGAAATAAGCAGATCATAGAGAAGTTTTTTCATGCCTCGATATCAAACGGTCTAACAAACAAAGGATTCTATGACTTGGCTGGTGAATTGACATGATCACAATACTTCCACTTTGAGCTATCTTTTGCGAAACCTTAACCACCATATAAGCACTAGTAGAGTCAAGTCCTGAAGTAGGCTCATCAAGAAATAGGAGAATAGGGTCATGAATGATACCTGTTACAATCGAAACACGCCTTCGCTCTCTGCCTGACACTCCCCTGTTGCCTTCATCTCCAATCATAGTATTAGCAGCATTTTGCAAATCTAGTTGATCGATCAATGCTCGAAATCTTACCTTCTTTCTAGACCAAGATAAAGTCTTCGGAAGATGGAATTCGGCTGAGAACATGAGAGTCTCTTCGACTGTCAACATAGGAAACAAGAGGTCATCTTGCATAACATAAGCTGAGATCAGTTTGAGAAACTTGGACTCCAAAACTTCACCATTCAAAGTTACAGTGCCTTTAAGACTTTCCCTTGCTATACGGTCTGCAAGGGCGTCGATCAACGTGGATTTCCTGAGCCACTAGCACCAAGGACTGTCATGATTTCGCCTTCCCTTGCTTCCCCTGAAATGTCATTCAACAATACCTTCGTGCGAGTCGTGACCTCATCTCTCCTCAAGCACTTAGGAAGTGACATGTAAAGTCGAACATTAACACTATAGCTGAGATTATGGAAGGAAAGAACAAATGGAAATGAAGTAGGATAAGGCAGAATATTGAGATCATGGCCGGGTTCAAGGACTTGTTCTGCATCAGAGTTACAGTTACTATTTTCTCCATGTGCCATAGAGACGCTGTCCTTGAGTTTTCGGCTAAATTCTTGAAGCTCCATTCTTGTAGGAAGCTGTTTTAGTATTGGGCTAAAATTTATGTCATATTGCCGAAGGAGCTAAGGGGTAGTTGGCAGCAAAACTTGCAAATGCAGAGATTAGAAAAAACATTAATACATAGTTGCAGCAAGCTCAAGTCCGGATCTTGTCTACCCTTTATACTCCATACCCTACCTTCCTCGTATGTATAATACAATATACATTAATTTAAACCCTTTAGTAGGTCATTTCATTAAAAGATGGTTATGGCTAAAAAACACTCTATGTAGAAAGTGTGGAGTGGGAGAGTTTTAGAGGGTTTTTAAGTTTTCTTCGCATTTTTAAACACTCTCTTTGTACAAATTTCCTTCATATTGGTCATTTTATTACGGGAAAGGGCCCAAATATACTCTTATATTTTCGAATATTGTCTACATTTAACTTCTGTTATATTATTGGCCAAATTTACCCATACTGTTATACTATCGGGTCAAATTTACCCCTACCGTTATACTATCATACCAAATTTACCCCTACAATCAGTAAACTTTAAAAAATTATCCTTCGGTCAGTCAGGTGACCTAGAATCTCCCAAATCATTTTAATTAAGTTACTGATTCTTTTTATTGGTTCACTATTTTCGAAATAATTGGCATTTACGTGCTTTCTGAATTAGAGGGGAAAAAATAAGAGAAAAAAATATTAAATAATACAACCGAATAAACAAAGTATAGTAAATTGAAAAATCTAAATTATGTAACTTTTCTAAATTCTAAAAGTGTTTACAGCATCTCAATTTTAATGAATTCGTTGCACCAAATGCATGGAGACTTTGCAAGTATTAGTGATTGAAGTTGAAATTCTCTAAGACTTTACATTGTCGAATTCAACTTTGCTTTAATTAAATGGCTAAACATTGTGCACTCTTAAGTTAGTTGATCGAACTTTATACTAACCCGACAATGACAAAATATATTTGAATATATATGTACATACATGATGCTTAGCTGTATATAATACACAATAAATAGACCTACTGAATTCTACAGTGTGTATATGATTGAAAAATAAATAAAATTTTAAACCAATTCCAAAACCCATTATTACAAGAAAAGAAGTGAGTTCATTGGTAATTAAAAAAAATTATGAATAGTCTAGTAACTTTAGCATTCACGTCAACAGTAATTTCTGAAAATAATGGAGCAAGCAGAACAACAAGTGATTTAAATAAAATGAATTTGGGTGATTTTGGATTACTTAACAGATCAAGGGCTAATTTTTAAATGATTGTTGATGATATGGGTAAATTTAGCCTGATTGTATAACGGTAGGGGTAAATTTGGCCTGATAGTATAACGGAGGTTAAATGTAGACAATATTTGAAAGTAGAGGTATATTTGACCATTTTCCCTTTTAATACCCCTATTTGCCATTATACAACCATATACTGTATGTCTAAAACTAAACTTCAATGGTTCCGTAACCTCACAAAATTTTCTCCTTTTCTTGGGTTGTGGAGAAGCGCTCTTGAGTTAGCATCTTTGAGTTAAATTGCTCAAAAGGCAGATTTGAAACAACAAACCGTTGTTCGTCTAACCTTGCAAATAAATTCCTGTGTGTTTCAAGCAAACACAACAATAGGATAAACTTTGCTGGCACTAGGGCAGCAGGGTGCACAAAGCATCCCACATTCACACAGGGTCCGGGGAAGGGCCGCATCCCAAGAGGTGTGATGTATACCGCCTAACCTAATGCAAGCATTAATGGCTTCTTCTACGGCTCGAGCCATGACCTGTAGGTCACATGTAGACAACTTTACCGCTGCTGCACTAGATTCAGTACATATATAATTCAATTTTATACATTGACATCATTAAAAATATTTTACACTATCATATGAACTAAGAAATAACTGGAATTATCGTCTATAAGAATTGGAGTTAGTAACCAAAAATAATATATGTTACCTTGATATTGTTGATTGTGTAGAATTTTTTACAGTCGCCGTATATAAGTCAAACCATCTTATCATAGCAGCCAATACAACTCCAAGCTAGTATTAAGTAGGTAAATAGGTGCCCCTGCAGAATAAAACTTCCCCTTTATTCTCCTCTTTGCAGTGTTCAGTTTATTTACAAACATTGAAATTACTAACATAAAGTTTTTATGAAAACTTTTAGTGTAGATTTTGGGTTTCCATAGCTCAAGAGATCTACTAACTCTCATATAAGTGCATATCTTGCTAATTGCTATCAAAAGCTCAAAATGCAGAGACTCAAGTTTGGGTATTTAGAATGAGCCTAAGTTTTTCATGAGATAAAAAGGAGTACATTAGTCAATTAAATGTCTAATACGGTTACCAACGCATTACTAATCTTTCTTGCACATGCCTTATCATTTCTTCAAGAAATCCCTTTTTTTTTTTCTAATATGCAGTTCATGTTTTCAGTCGATGCATCACATGGACTAGCAGGATAAAGTTATAAGAAAACTAGCATTGACCCATAAGTATGATTATCAACTATACAAAGATAAAAGAGGTTAAGCTTTGGGAGAAGCAAAAAAAAAAAGAAAAAAAAAAGGTGAATGTCAAGTTTGGGGGAGAATGGTGTGAATATATATATTAAGCAAAAGAGTGACTTACAAGTCACAAGTATGAGATGAGAGAGCAGACCTTTGGGATATAGTGCTGACATTATATACATGTTTTGATATATATTATGAAGATCGAAAAGTTTAGTTTTAGTATATGAAATTTGGGTGAACTACTTTGGTATGCTGGAAGCATATATAGACAAAGCCAAGATTTGAACTTTATGGGTTCTAAATTCTAGGATAGCGACATCAAGTGTTAGTAACTGAGTTCTTAACTTAATTTTCGTACATATTCAGTGGATTTCTTCATACAAATATAAAATTTGGATCTGGCCAAACCAATATATCTCCTTCCAGGCAGGCAATGTTTGCTGGGCAGATTTGGTGCCACAGTGCTTTGAAGCTGTGAACTGCAGCGCCAAGTCAGTATTAACAGATAGAAAATGTGCGTCGCAGCGCTCAAAAATGATTGCAGCATTGCACAAAAATGAACATTGCAATGCTAGCTAGCTAGCGACCCTGACTTTAAATTTCTGAATTATGTTAATTGGAGGCAAACATGGTGTTTCAACAAAGAAACATGTCCATAATGGACAAAATTCGTCTCTTGGCCTATAAAAGGTCTACTTTAAAGTTCAAAATTAATGTAGTTACATAGCTATCTCAAATCTTGAGACACAAACATAATGCAAATTTCAAACAAAAAAATCTCCACTTTTCTAGTTCAGTTTGACTACCTTGCTACTGCAAAGATATTGACATGATATTTTTCCTAAAAAAAGTACTCAGCGCCTCTTATTTTTGCTTCCAATCAACAAAGCAAAATATAAGAGAATCCTGTAGAAAATTCTCAAAGCAATGGTGATCCACAAACTAGACCATTTGTCTAAATCATTCAACGCGGTTAGCTTCAATATATCTGTTCCTCTTGTCAAACAAGTTGAGTTTGTTATGTTCATCCCCAAGATCTTGCTCATGTCTTGAAGCAACTCTATCTTCAACGACTCAGTAACATCCTTCAACGGCGAGGCATCAAATATCTTGATACCCTTTATAAGACACTTGTATGGATTGTCAAATTCATTCTGTAAAACACCTTGATAAGGGTATTTTGGTGGAGATAAATAGTGAAACCATATCCAATAAGGGGGGATCCGATCTCGGTCAATGAACAAGCCACTTAACAACATAAACCAACCCAAAATTAAGGTGACTACTGTGTAAGCAACCATTTCAGAGTAAATGACTCCAGAGAGGAATGTGATAAAGGAAGTAGCAGCCCAAAATGTGGAAAACATGAAGAGGTAGAAAAACACAAACCCCGAAAAGCCACCTGCTAGACCGACTAACCAATAAGTTGTTACAGCATAAGTAAGGGAGAGGACAAATAGCAAAGGAAGTGAGATGATGGTATGGGAGAGAACATAAGAGGAACAGCGATAAGATTATATGCTGTCTCTCTCATGAAAATGTACCTTTCTTGGAGGAAGACTGGCATGGCATAAAGACATATGTAAAAGATTGAACCCACGGCAAAGGCAATGAAACCTAGCTTTTCTTGAATCCCTTTTGGGGAATTGTCCAGTTTCCTAAAGAGTGTGGCTAGAATGATCCCAGTTGCAACAACAGCACCAAAACGAACGTAAAACAGCTCAGGCATTCTCATGGAGTTAAGTATGGATCTTTTTGCTATCACAACCATTTCCATCCAGAATGGATTAGCAAATTTTGGGACGTCTAGCGAAGAAATATTGTGGCCGATATTTGTTGCTCCTGAGACTAATTTTCCCCTTGAAACACTTGCACTTATGGCATCTTGCAACGATGGTTTAGGTCCACTGAAAAAGCTGGTGCAAGTTGGATTTTCTCTTTGCCATGATCTATTGAATTCCACCAAATTCTTGGTTCCATTTGGAGTTTCTTCTAGCTCTTGTATGAAATCTAAAGCCACCTCTGCCCAATTTTCATTTTCTGGAATTGGAATCCAAAATTCAGCAAAGAACTGGGGAATGCTTGTAGGTGAACCACCAAAAACTATTTGACCACATGAAACAAAGATCAAGCGGTCCAACAAACAGAGGATTCTGTAACTTGGCTGGTGAATTGACATGATCACAATGCTTTCACTTTGAGCTATTTTTTGCAAGACCTTTACCAGTTACCACCATATAAGCACTAGTAGAATCAAGTCCTGAAGTAGGTTCATCAAGAAATAGGAGAATAGGGTCATGAATGATACCTATTCCAATTGAAACACGCCTTCGCTCTCCGCCTGACACTCCCCTGTGGCCTTCATCTCCAATCATAGTATTAGCAGCATTTTGCAAGTCTAGTTGATCGATTAATGCTCGAACTCTTGCCTTCTTTCTAGACCAAGATAAAGTCCTTGGGAGATGGAATTCGGCTGAGAACATGAGGGTCTCTTCCACTGTTAGCAAGGGAAATAAGAGGTCATCTTTCATGACATAAGCTGAGATCATTTTGAGAAACTTGGACTCCAAAACTTCACCATTCAAAGTTACAGTACCTTTAAGACTTTCCCTTGCTATACGGTCCGCAAGGGCGTAGATCAACATGGATTTTCCCGAGCCACTAGCACCAAGGACCGCCATGATTTCGCCTTCCCTTGCTTCCCCAGATATGTCATTCAGCAATACCTTCGTGCGAGTCATGTCCTCATCTGTTCCTTCCCCTGGCAACTTGCCATCCCAGCTAGCTCTCTTCAAGCACCTAGGAAATACTGTCAGTTTGCGTCGAACTTTAACACTATAGCTGAGGTTATGGAAGGAAAGAACAAAGGGAAATGAAGTAGGATTAGGAAAAAGAGAATCATGGCAATTGCTATTTTCCTCGATGGAGTCACCAAATTCTTGAAGCTCCATGCGTTTGCTTCTAGGCCTAAAAATGGCAGTGATGGATAGAGTCAAAACTTGTTGACTATGGGTGTTTTGTTTGGGCTCAAGACATGTGCACTGAGCTAATTTCACCGCATCTTGCCTGCCCATAATATGTATAATACATTCTACATAATCTCCTCCACCAAGAGACATTGTAAAGAGTGCTTATTGCTGTATAAAAAACAATACTATCTATAGAACGGGAAGTGTGGAGTGGGAGTAAGTGAGTCTGGAAGGGCTTTGAACATTAAGTTTTCTTCACATTTTCAATTAGATACTTTATGTGCACTCTTCAATGTAGTACGCCTATTTGCAGCACTATTCGGCCAACTTAATGCTTGTCGAAAACTAAACTTCAATGATTCCAGATCTCACAAACTTTTCTTCTTTTCTACGCTAGGAGATAAGCATTCTTGGGTACTACTTCAGAGAAAGTCAACATGCCCAATAAGGCATATTTTTGGGACAAAAGATCATTGTACTTCTAACTTAGCCAACAAATTCCTCTATCTATGATGCAAGTAATTACAACAATTTGAACTGTAGGGAACTTCAGCACTCCTTAGTCTCATGTCTCATCAGTCACTTCTCAATGGCTAATTCGGTAATGAACACATTCTTAAAGCTCTCCTGCACATTCCTTAATTGCTTCAACAAATGGATTTCTTGAATGTAGTGGATGTATTCAGTCGATGCAATCACATGGCCCAAGTGGACTAGCAGATAGCTTTGATTTTCAGATGAGTGCATTGTAAGCAAAAAGAACCAAAAAAGAGGGGGACTTCAAGCTTTGGGAGAAGCAAATGAGTGCATTTTAAGCAAAAAGAACCAAAAAAACAAGGGACAGTAAAGAGCTTTCATTAATACGTTTAATTTTATTAATTTAAATTTTGAATTTGATATCTGAAAATTTTAAGTGTCTGTTTACAGAGGGTTATGTCTGAAGGAATTCGTCTAAACACTAATGGGGGCATAAATTCCTTAAGAAGACTAATTAAACAATCAACACCTGTTTTCCTTCTGTGAGTTTCACATCAAAAGCAAGGAAGAAACGCGAGAGCAAGGCGTTGTGATTCAAAGCTAACATTAGTTCCCCGTTTTAAGCTTTCACAGAAACTTCAAGAGAAATGAGGAGTGTCCTAAAATTACCTCTCTTTTTCTTCTTCTCCTTTTCAGAATAATCTTATAAATTCTTTTGTTAATTATCTGAACATATTAGATTAGTTAAGAATGTTACACTGCTTAGGACCAAAGAATCATTATTAACAAATCTACAAAAATATTAAGTTTACTAAGACTATCCTCTCTGCATTTCACTCAAAAATTGCAAGAGAATTATAATACTGCCTTTGTTAGTCCACTCTAAACGGATACAGAACAAACATGACAAGATGCACCAGCACCAGCAAGAAAATCCTACTTATCAACTTACCATATATAACTAGCTAAGTTGGTAAGCTCAGGCAAAGCAAAAAGAATAATGAAAATAAGGACGACTAGTGGAACGAAGTACCGGAGTCCTGTCAGAAATTCCTGTATATCAACATTGTGATACCCATCAGCATATTGGAGACTCACCTTCAATACTGTAGCTGATAACAGTCCCCTAGAATTAGCCGCTTGCAACACAATTGGTATTTACTGATATAGCCAGTTTTTTCTTGTCACATCAAAGATGATATCATTTTATAGACTGACAAAGGCGATAAACCGATCTGTAGATTGGCCAAGGCAGTAAACGTGCCCCTTCAACGTAACATGACAACTACTCTCCATCATCTTGATGCTCGTTCAACCGAACCGTCTCTTCTGATTGGGCTAAGTAAGCCGTAAATACTCTTAACACCATGTGATAGTCTTCGCTTTGGAGCAAGCTCGCATAGTTTCTCCCAAAAGGTCACACCATTAAGAGTATCTTACACCTTATATGTTGCTTCTTTCTCTTCTCAACTTCCAATACGAGACTTTGTTCGGATACCCAACAATCGAGACATTGGTCATAAAAAAGAACAATAGCCTAATTCTCAACCCTTGGAATACTTCGACATTGGTCATAAAAAAGAACAATAGCCTAATTCTCAACCCTTGGAGTACTTCTTTAGAAACATTACGGAGACACTTCTCCATCTCTTCAAACTTCTTTGGGAACCTTACGAAGAAGGGAAACGGGTATGTTTTGGAGTGCCAGGAAGTTTGCAGTTTGTAGCAACTGAGCTGCAAGAGGCATGTAAACAAATACAGAGGAGGATATCAAAATGAAGAAGGAACACCTTGAAGAAGATAACAAAAGTGAACAGAAAAGTTGGTTATACCATTCCACATGTGTATATTCTCCATTTAACAATTATGTATAGCCATCATGAACTATAGCTAGATCATTTTGATGATATTAGTCATAACCACTAAGGAACGGTAGTAATAGTGAAATGAAATTACACAGTGAGGCTCAGTTGTAAAGAATAATATCTTCTATTCAAAAGGCATACAGTCTCATAACTCCCCAGTGGTCACATACTTCCAAGCTCACGGTACTACCTACATTTGCTACATTCTCTTACAGTAAAATGAAATTAATATTTTACCCCTTCAAGTTATACTCTACAACTACGTCAAGCATGTACATGTATGTTGGATATGACATAAAAAAAGATGTTATTTTTCTAAATAACATGACTAAGTGGCCCAATGCCTAATTCGTCCTCTATGTCATCGTCCTCTTCAAACAGCTTCAAGAAACGAGCTTGATCTTGCTGCCTTTTCTTTCGCTTCCAATATTTGTAAACAGTGACTGCTCCAAGAACTAAAACCATTGACGCTAAAGCACAGATAAGCAGCACTAGAGCCCAGTGCATTCTCTTTCCCCCTTTTTGTGAGCCAGATGAGTGATTAGAAGCTAGAGAAACAACGCAATAGAACTAACAATTAGTACTGAGCATATAAGTAAACCAACTCCACAAATTCGCGGAAGCAAAAAAATCTTCAATCTATAAATAGAGCCCAGATAAGAAAAATCTTAAGGAATTTCCTTTAACATCTAAAGATTAAAACTGCAGGGTATTAGTGACTTATTCTACATCACCACATCAACAGCCCGACCTCTATTGCATCAGCTAACAAAATGTACCAGAGAGAACTACAAAAAGGAATACCATAAGGAACTAGAAGACTAACCACCACCACGAGGGACACACTCTGGGCACAAAAATGTGGCATTGAGCTCTTTCTTTAAGAAATGAACATACTTCCCATCAAGATCAGTAAAATCAGAAGCACATAACTCCCACTCATCAAAAGTATCATCAGGCTTTATTGTATCCTTCTCATAGATCCCGCATCGTTTGCACTTTTTATCTGTAAGCTCTGTCAAAGGCTAAAACATAAAATGCACTCAACATCAAATTCTGGAAGGAGATATATCTTATGCCATGCACATCATATTAGTATAAACCTGGATAATCTCTACAACAGAAATTCACAAGCTCTAGAGCAACACGCATAATTTTTGAAATATACTGATAGAAGTTGAAAATAATGCATAACAACTTCCATGACCCACATGCTAATTTCTAGATGTGATTCCTCCCCATCATGCAACACAAATATCTCAGTCCCTGCTATCTTTTGTTTCTGTTAAATCATTTTCCATTAAAATATTCCCACATGTAGCACTCAACAACCATTAAACAGTTCCCAGCACAACTTTTCAAACCAACCACTAAATAGGAAACTATAATTTCTACACCCAAAAAGAGTAAGACATGACACTCCCTGCCAAACATTAACCCAACTGAAGCAGTTGCAGCCAAAAGTTGAAAAGAAGAGTTATGACTACAGTTCACAGGTGGGAGGGTGCTGCAGGTTTACAACTAAATTTTGTAATTTGCAATAGGTATCGTCTAACTAGGAAGTAAGTTAGCAAAGACCAGCTGTGTAGAAATTCCTTTGAAAATGCAATGAACCAACACTTTGGCAAAATGTAGGTAAAAGGTTCACCAACCTTAGGGAGTAACAGGTCNTTCCCAACAAACAACTGCACAAGTTTTTATTTTATACTTAAGTCGTCTCAAGCACGATGCCAACATACTTTGTTAAGAAGAATAGCTTTTTGCAACTACGACTAGAGGCGGACCTATGTGTAATGTTGAAGGGTCACCAAACCCGTAAACTTCGGTAGAAATCTTGTATATGTATAAGTGTATACCTTGAAAAAGGTTAATTCAAATCACTTGGCACCCTAAACACTAAAAGCCTTTAGGGGGCACTAGTTGAGCAGAATATTGTGCCCCCGTCGCGTTAAAATCTTGGGTCCGCCTCTAACTAAGACAGTAGTCGAAACTAGCATGCTATAAGCATTTTGATGACAAAACATCGTGACAAATGGTTATTGCTAGTAAATTTTAAATGCTCAAGTTATCCTAAACAATGAAAGGAAAGGGAATTGTAAAAGCGAAAGCTGGAAAAGATAGCAAAGAGAAAGTTCCATCGTAAGTAAATCAAACAATTGAGAGAGATTCAGTCATCATAAACCTGCCAAGACTCTTCGCCCTTGAAAGTATACAAGACATGTTTCTTCTTCACATCTGGCAAAATTGTTTTGTTCTCCCCTTTACACTGAAAAAATACTGTTGGTTTCGATCCGAATAATTCATGTTTCTTATATATTTGGATCGAATCAAGTGTAACAACTGCCGCTATGACTAATCCTGCAGAAATTAACAAACATTAAAGAGAAAATATCAATCTTTTTTCTCTCTTTATACAAAAATCAAGAAACCTAGTAGAATGCATGCAAAAGGATTCACATAGCCTATCCCAATTATTTAGAATCGTGATTGATACAGACCATAAATGACCATTCACATTTATTCTGAATTTAATTAGCTTGAGGTCAACCAATTAATCAAAATTAAGATTACCTGGAAGCCATCTGAGAAAAAGTGAGCTACACAAAATAAATACAATGAGAATTCTAGGACTTAAACAATGATGCATCGTTGCCTATACATATTATTTTTTACTTTTGTGTGCGACATAAGCTTAAGGGAATTACACGAGAGGTGAAGAAGAAGGCTGAGGAGCAGTTCGCGCGCTGTTTAACAGTTGCCTTCTTATTTCGTTTACATTTCTGTTCTGACTTCTGAGACCAAAATTACTCTACACTTGATGATAATATAAAAATATCATTTTGTTGCAAACAATATTGCCAAAGAAAAATAAATTTGTGCTTCATCAATTTGATGTTTACACGGTGATTAACAGCTTGTGTGCATGGTTGTTACCTGATATTTTAAATATAATATTTATTTTGATTGTTACTTTAATTTTATTGTATCGTATCGTAAAATCCGTCGTTACGTAACAATGAAAAGTATCACTTTATGTAACGACATATTTGGTGTGGTGACATCGTTACATTATTTTTTTCTCTCATTCTGCATTTCTTTGTTATTAAATAATTATTATTTTATCTTTATCATACTTTTTTATATAATAATTCTACTCCGTATTTTATTTTTTCTTAGTAATGTTACAAGTTTATTATTCATATTTTTGGTTTGTGACATCATGAAACTACGGTAAACGGTACAATCTATCCAAACATTGTATTCATCGAACAATACAATACGATATATTATAAAACGACATCCGTTGTTTTAAAAAATCATAATATTGTAATAGTAAATACTTACTCCCATCCGTTGTTTACTCTAAATTAATTAACTATGATTAAGTGATAAAATTTTATGTGCAAACACATATTATGCTTCTATTAATTTGGTGTAAACACTCGGCGCGAATTAGTTCTTACCCATTGCAATCCATGTTAAAAATATATGTATTATTATTCCCCACATAATTAACAATTTTTGTGTTATTAGAAATTAAACAACCAGTTATATCAGCCCATAAGTAAGTTAGTACAAAATTAGTCAATTCATAAAATATTACCAATATTAGCCAATAAGCTATTTGTAGCCAAAAAAATATCAAAGTTTTGCTTTCTTTTGAGTGGGTATTATTGGAATAGATTTGATACATATTAAGAAGCTTAAATCTCAGTTGTGGGGATGATTTGGTAGAGTTTTGAGGTGGTTTGAATTGAAAATTCAAAATAGAAGATAAATATGAAAAAGGATGGTAAAAATAGCACGGACTAACCAGTTTTGGATTGGTAATTGAAAAATAGTCAATGTTTGTAAAGTCATTGAAAAGTAGCCATTTATTTTGACGAAACACGAAAAGTTCCAGCATAATATGCGAGATTATGGAACTCCTGCGTGTAAACTTCCAGTATATTATGTTGGAACTCCAGCACACGAAAAGTTCCAGTATAATATACGGGATTATGGAGCTCCTGCATATGAACTTACCGCATATTACATTGGAACTCTAGCATATTATGAAATTCCAGTACATCATGCTGGAAGCTCATATGTAAAAAATTCGAACTACAGCATATTGTGCTGGAATATTTCCGGATTTTTAAGGGTATTTTTGTTCAGATTTTATCTTTACATGAAAAGTGGCTAAATTTCAATTAGTTTTGAAACTGTAGCTATTTTTCAATTACCAGTTGTAAATCTGGCTATTTTTTATATTTTTCCAAAAAGATGATATGTGTATCACACTGTGTATATATATATATATATATATATATATATATATATATATATGATATTTATATCAAATGTGTATCACATGTATATTCACGTATACATATGTGTGAGATACATGCGTGATACATGTATGTGTTGTAGGAAAAAAAATTTGAACTCGATTTTAACTACGAATTTTGATACCAAATCAGATCAAATCACCCCCAATCTTCCTCAAATTTTATATTTCATCACCTTGTTTGCTACCTCATCCATGAAATTTATTTTTCGTTTTGAATCTAATGTTGCTGATCACACTTAAAAATATAGAAGAAGATCTTTGCGTGTGATTCTTGGAGAGAAAGAATCCTTATTTATTTGGATTTTTAATTTTTGTATGTGGTAATTAATTTTGATAAGTTTATAATTAATGGCTAGTAGTTAGTAAGTTAGAACTTATTTGGGACATATCCGTAAGATTTCCTTAGATTTGGACAAAAGGACCCATAAGGTACCCTGCCATTTTAGATTTTGTTCAAGTATTGCTATTCCACATTATATTTTGCAAAAATAATATATAAAATTTTACCTAAATTATTATTATTATTATTATTATTATTATTATTATTATTATTATTATTTTTATAAAAATCAAAATGCTAAACAAATGTTGTATTACAATGTATAGTTCTATGTCAGAATCTAAACTGTTTCACTATAATCGGCTTGCCTGCCTTATAAACACCTTTAAATTTCTTTCGACATAAATTCGGACATCACTGTCTTAAATTTTTTTAGATTAAACTTACATAGCCATATAGATGTACTATAATCACAATTCACAAAATCTCATATGTTTGAGAATAGCCTTTCAATTGAAAAGCACTTAACTCCCCGAATGGTAATAGAATTAAATAAATAAAAAATAAGTAAATAACACCTTATAATATAATATAATATTATATAATAGAATATATTAACTTATGAGTTTTTTTTATTAACTTATGAGTAAAGATTAAAATCATATCGTTATTACTGTGAGCAATTTTTTTCCTTTATTCTTTTTTTTTTTTTTTTTTGTGGTTGATGATTTGGGAAAAAACAAATTGGTTTTTTTTTTATGACACACTAATTACTGAAATGAAAAAGCTTATCATGGTCAATAGCCGTTGGAATCTTCAATTTAATCTTGCATTATCATTGCGTCTTTATCCCATTAATTACGGTAACAGCTCTACCTTAACTGGGGTAACTTTAGTCCTTTATTACTTCTTTGACCTTGCAAATTGAACAATGATAAAAACTTATGTGCACCTTATTTTTACATTAAACCAATTAATGCAAGAATTGTAATCTTGCATACACATATTTAATATTTGATTATGCTTAAATGATTTGTATTCTCACTTTAAATCTTAATTCTGTTAAATTGCTTGATTTGGGTAAAAGGTCGGGATTGAAATTCTTGTACTTTGTCATATGGAGAAAAATAAAAGAAAGAAGAATACTGTAAATTAAAAGGACCTAATAAAAAATTGACTAATTGCATAAACTATACTATTAGGTAAATTCTTTTTCATTTGGCTAAGCATTGGCTGACAAAATTGTCTGAATAAAAGTGGGTACAAGCTCAAATAGAAAATCGTCATTAAAAAGAAAAAAGAAAATTAAGCACTACTAAGAATTTTACACTTGCATATTTCCCCACCTTTTTTTTTCAAAGTTCGAACTAATTCGTGCTCATGTTTTAATATTGGCCAAAGCAAAGGAGAAGATATACGCAGACGCTTTCTTTCTATCTCTCTTTTTTTTTTTTCAGAACATAAAAAATAATCAGACAAGAAAAGCAAAAAAAAAAAAAAGGTGAAAGGAGGAAAAGAGAAATACTGTGACTACATTGACTTTAACTTTTATGGTCCACAACATCAGCAGTAGCAGTGCAAGATAACAGCCTTCGGAAAATACCAGACAACGCCGCACAAGAAACTTTCTTCACTTTCCTCACCACCGCAAACCTACTCCGTCGCCGCCGTTGACCGGATTTTCCCTGCTTTTTGCCGCCGGAAGCCACCCTTTCTTTGACCTTTCCGAAACATTTCTTAGTTTTTTGAGGGACAGTTTCTTTTCTTGAAAACGTATAGGCGCTCCTTAAGTATAGTTGCCGGCATGACACGGTGTCCACCACCCTAGGCGGCTGCCACAGCTGCCGTCTTCTGCCGTACATCGCCGGAGAATCAGTCTTCAGGAGTTCGACGTGGGATTCTGGCCGGAAGTTGACATAGCTGGTAGCTCTGGCTGGAGTTGTTGTGTCACTGTTTGGTATAAAAACTGTGGCCATTTCAGCTTTTTGCTGGGGTTGGTTTTTCGTTTAGTAAATGGTCTGTGAATTTGTTGTAGTTCTTTTCACTTTGTAGTTTTTATATGTGTGGGCAGTGGATTAATAAAAGTAAAGTTTGATATAGTTGATAGATGGAAAAAATGTGTGGCTATTTGCGTGCTGTTTAAATAGTGTAATCTCACACTATTAGCAGTGAAAGTGCATTAATCATGCAATTCTTTTTTACATAATTAGGTTGACTTAAAAATCAATTATGGAGAAATGATCGAGCATAGGGGTGGGTATTATACAACTTGACAAAGTATAGATAAAGTAAGTAAGTTGATGAAACCAAAAAGTCGGCGGATCCAGAATTTAAATTTAATGACTTCAATTTCTAAAACAAATTAGCATTGATTTATTGTACTGTTAAAATTATGAGTTCAAATCTACTATTGTTGAGATTTTAGTAAGTTTTTATATATAAATTCATATGATGTATTGAAAGTTATAGATTCAGTTGAACCCGTAGTTGAATCCGCCCCTGAGGTGTACAATGGTAATCCCTCCGGTCCACTTTAATTAATTTTTAGTTGTTTTCAGAAATATTAATGAATTCACCTTTAAACATTAATTAACAATGAAATTGATCATATTAACCTTAATTTATTTATTAAAAATATAAAAAATACTCCTAAGCTCTTTACTCTCAAGGCAATGGAAAAAAGAAGTTAATTCTTTCTTGATAACTAAAAAAATAAATATTTTGGACCACAAAAAAAGGCCAAAAAATTAATTAAAATGGACCGGAGAGAATATATATNTGAAATGAAAATAACTCATTATTGATGAAAGATGGTCAAGGTAGAGTTTTACTTTTTAACAAAACGAGGAAATGACCTTGTCAAGAAAAATGAAATAAATTAGTAAATTTTTATATGGTGACAATGTAAAATTTAAGTCATTTTAAAGGACATTATCCATAATTAATACTCACATGAAAAATAAGACAAGTAATATTCAACATCATGTCGTCCAAAAAATAAAAAAGAAAGGAGGAGTAACGCAATGACAGATATCCCAACCTAAAAAATATTGCTTTATCCATTTCACGTGTATTTCTTTCTTGTTCTACTAGTAAAGAAACTAATTCAAGTTAACTGCCAAAAAAAAATCATTATCCTTAAATCGTGGGGTTTTATCTAATCCAGCTAAGTACATGTGGAAAACGTGACTAAGAGAAGCTGAGGAAAATAAGTTTTTTCTTTCTTATAAACAATATAATCATGAATTATATCACAAGTTCACAACTCACAAATGAAGACACCCTAGATTTCAACTCTAAAAAAGCGGGCGAGGTGCGCAAAGGGTCATTTTTAGGGTTGTTATTTAGGGATTAACTAGTACTTATTTTATTATGAATTATTAAACTAAAAATTTTAATTTTAAGACAATTCAGGATATTTGTATCCCAAAAAATTTATCTGGAAAATTAAAATTCAAAACGCGTCTGCTAATTCCTAAATAATAATATTTAGAGTAGTTACCTAGTATCATTTCTACCAAAAAAATCTCATTTCTTCTAGATATTGACGTATGAGTGGCTTTAGCTGCTTATTATTATTATTATTATTATTATTATTATTATTATTATTATTATTATTATTATTATTATTATTATTATTATTATTATTATTATTGTTATTGTTATTGTTATCTAAACGGCCTTAGCAGTCAAAAGTTGCTGCAGCTTTCAGAATGGAAGTTCCATGCGCAATACAACTTAAAATAATTTTCTTTTTTCTTGTGATTTCTTAAACTGTCAATTTACGATAGTGAATGGCAAATAATTTCATATTCAAAAGAAAGTTAAGAACGTATATTAGAGCAACAAACAGTTTTCCAAATTTTCCATTACTTTTCACTCGAATTTTATATATGTACGTGAATAACAAGTTAAATGAAATTATGTATTTATTTCATAACCTACTAAGTCTAAATTCTAATTGTGTCGCTGGTGTGTATCAAAATTATATTTCTCTTTAACAATATTACATTACATCAAACTACTTAAATCTTCAGTTGTACCTAAATACACAAGAATAAATAGAGTCAAGAGCTCTTTAAAGTAAAGGAGAATAGACTAAAGATGCAGAGATGGAAAATCCAAAGCAGGCATTTGCTGCTCATGAGTTAAAGATCATTCGAACTGCTAATTCCCCTATGACACTTACATGGGTGGAGGTAGAGTGTTGGGTATTTGTATTAGGAAATCCATCAAATATATATAAATACTTAATTGCGAACCCAGTAACTAAGACGAGTTATGAGTTCGATGACCAGTTCAGAACCCATAAATTTGAAATCTTGGCTCCGCCTCTAGACACTTGTATTCCACAACAATGTTTTCAGAGTTTAGGTTGCTCTCATTTCGCTCGCTGCTACTATGACAACCGCTTTTGCTTTGCTTTTTTTGATGATCCGTCACAACTCATAAGAATGCTGTTGGTCAGAACCTGGTAATCCTCATTATGAGATAGCAAAGGAACTTCTCAAGACATTTTAAAGGTCAAATATCTATTAGGTGGGCTTTCTAGTTGATGCCGTTGCTCAGATTTCACTTTCAATGTGCAAGCATCAACTAGTAGAAGAACAAAACTTGCAAATCAAACAGGCAGAAACCTCACTATCATTATCAAAGGAGTATGAGCTGATAGCGAACGTCTTCTCTGATGGAACACCTTATCAGTCTGGACCCCGCCAGTATGTTCATCTTTGATATGCTTCCATGTTTTACTTATCTATCAAGATTATCTTGTAACACCAAACAAAGAGATCTGGTTAAAATTTCATTGTTTTCTGTTCATGGAACCTATACTTGTATATGTGTAACCAATCATTTGCCTTGAGTTAAAGAGCACGGCATGCCCAATATAAAAGTCAGATGATCAATCCCTCGCCCAACAAAGTGGAAAAAAAAGAGAGTGCAAACCATAAAGAACTAAAGAAGTCCTCTATTGTCAGAAGTTAGCATTATTGTTTAGGAAGTGATTGCTATGATTTAGCTGCTCGTACAAGTGGATCAAAGCAGAGCCCTGAAATATTTGATAGTTGCGCAAGAATAAGTGGATTGTGACAGCCCTATCCAGCAATTAGACCATTGAGAATAGCGCCGCGTTTTCATTGGTTATGTTGGAGGACTGTCACATCACCAAAACAATTAATAGGAAAACGGTACTACCTGAATTTCAAAAGAAAAAGAGTGTGTTTATGTCCATCTGTATAAGAACTAAAAACTTGTCACAAAATCAGCAGAGCAACAGTAGGATAAATTTACTAGCTGCGAGGAAGTGAACACAAGTTTGATGCTAAACTTACCCTTTTTCAGCAGCACAATAGCCGATGAAGATTTCAACTTAAGGTTATGATGAGCCTTCACCTAGAAAAACCAAGAACCTACCCCTCCCACGCCCCACCACCTCCCCGGGAATTCAAAGGGAAAAACCACAGCTAGCATAGAAGAGTTTTAACAGACAGCGAGAGCATCTTTCTGCAAGTTAAACAAGTACTATTTTGTTTATTTTTAAGTTCCTCTGTCACTACTAAGGGATTCATAAATTTGTAAGATGAAGGCAAATGTAGCAGCTTCATTACTTCCCTACACACCGTATTATGAGTTCCCTGACGAGTAGTAGACTAACCATATCAGCATAGGAAAACTGGAAAAGTATGGGAACCAACCAGAAAAGCGAAAGTCAACCCAGAAGTTCCATGTAATCTTATCTATCATTATGGTCTATGTATGAAAGAGCATCTAGATCTATCGAAAAAAAGAATAGAGAAAGTTGTAGCAGCGTAAACAAGATTGTAATGGTGCTTTCTATTTTGTGTATCTGTTCCACCTTATAGACTATCACTAGATATTTAATGACATTTGTGTTTTGATAAAGATAACAGATAAAGATAGCAAAAAGGAGGTACACCTGCCCTCAGATATGATGGATGATCCCCGATTGTGTCTAACACAAAATGCAGAAAATACCTAATTATATTACCACTCTTGTTTCCGAGTCACATTGTTCAATTTAGCCAGCTTTCTAGTGTAGAAATAAAAAACCTTCAATGTCAGTTAAACTGTTTCTCACGTAAAGGCAGAATTGTCCTGATGAATAGCAGGGCGTCAATTAATGTACCCTATTGTATCGCGGTTCCATAAGCCTCATATCGGGAAGGGGTCTCAGATCTCAGTGATGGGGAAAAAAAACTATAAGAATTCCCACCAACATACCATCCCTGATCTATTACCTTTCAGGCTTTCATTGATTCTTTGACAATAAGCGTTTTGGCCTATGTCACATAATCTATTACTCCTCATTGTTTCATGTAAAATGCTTTATAAGGTAAAACACGTTCTAAATCATTCTTCTGGGACATTGATGATAAATGTTATGGGCATGTAGTAGTATTGTCGAGTCATTACTGGAGGTGGAAGTGACAAGAGAGTAATGGAAGGTATCAACAGTATGTAATTATCCATGGGACCAATTCGAGTTTAAAGTCAAGTGGAGATTAACTTACAAGTAATAGCACATTACACCACAAGCTGTTTTCATTATTTTCTACAGAACATTTTCAACACCAACACTTGAAATAGGAAAGCATTGTTATGGAAAAAGGTCAGTGAGTCTACCAAACAGATCCTACAACTTTTAACCAGACGCATAAGCCATAACTATCTTAATAACTAAGACAACCACAAGATATCATGTGCTCAACACCTCAGTAAAGCAATATAATTACCAAGCACAAGAACTATGAAATCCATCGATCAATGAACAATTTTGACATATCTTTGGTGTTGTCCAAATAGACAGACGAGAAGTGAACGAGACCATTTCTCTCAGTTCTGGTTCTGATCCTCAATATGCCAATAGGCAGTAACTCCAAAAATGAACTAAGAAGCCATTGGTCAACAGATATTATATCATTCAGAGGAAGGTGGATTATTTGGCATCCTAACAGTCATATAAGTGGACATAATTTGGCCAGTCCAGAGTGATGTAAAAGCATGACGCAAACAACAGAACACAGAAAAAGACATACACCAAGCAGTCATTATCATCAACTAAACAGTCTACATTCACAACTATACTAAATTTCTCAATGGAAAACAACACATTTTAACAATTTCATATTCAGATAAACAAACTTCTAGATGGAGGAAAGAAGAGAAAAAGGACCAACAAGGAGGAAACCATGATAAACCACTGTATCATGAAAATGAGGTTTACATGGTAATTTCATCGAAAGAACTTACAATATCCAAAAATGAAACAACTGTTCCATGATACCAGTGCTACTACAATAACCCAAAATATTGTTTAATAACAGTGAAAAAGTAAAAAACAGTAAATGATATATCATCCCAGCAAACCTAACTATAACTTCAGTGAACTCACAGTGTTAGGCTGCAAACCGTATAAAATGACAGAAGGAGACCTTCCACGAGATCTCAACTTCACAACTCAAACTCCTCATCCCGAAGAGCCAACTCTGCAGCCTCTTCTTCCTCGTCATCAAGAACAAAGTACTCATTCTTCTCCACTGGCCTAAACATGTAAAACATCACCATGTAGAACGCCAGACTGGCTATCTCCTCGGCAGCATTTGCCACCCATTGGTACTTATAAGCCGCAATCGTCCTCAACGCAAACACAACAATTCTCGTGAAGTACAAGTATCCTATCACTACAATGTAAAACTGCCTAAACAAAGTCAATTTCGCCAAATTCTTAGCAGCCTTTCCATCAGTTTTCGAAGTCTCCCTCAACGACCTAATTGACCAAACAATAGGGAAGATAATAGCACAACAACAAACAATATCGACAATCAAAAACACCTGATTCCAAGTAACCCAATCCCTAATAAACGGACCCGTTTCCCCAATCACAATCGAAGCCACATTGGCCAAAACCTGAAGAGGGATCACAATCATCAACACCTTCTTCTCCCTCTCTTGCAAAAACGGCTTCAAAAACGACCACCCAGTACCAATCAAAACGATCACAGTGAACAACAGAACAACACGAATCGATTGAAAAATGTAAAACAACACGTCCCAACCATGTGCAGTTCCAGTAACCTTAACATAATGCTTATCCTCCGCCGCGAAAACCAAGTTCAAAGCCTTCATTACAACTAAAGCAGCCATAAGCATATGAATCCGATGCACAGATTTCTTATTATTGAAACACACATACAACCATAACCCTAAAAATCCAAAATAAACAAACGAAAATAGAAAGTACAACGTGGGAAGCTGAGTTAGCCCAGCCGAAAGATAATCTTTCACTTGATTATCGAGGTTATACAATTCTGTACGGACGTCCATTGATACTTTTGATTCAGGGGCACAATTGGCAAAAAAGAGGGAATATTCATTGGGGGAAGTAACGGGGTAAGATCGGTTGAATGAGGAATTTGGTGGAGGCGAGAGATCGCGGAAAGTGAAGAGGTGATTGATGAATTTGGAATCGAGAACGCAGAAATTAGGGTTTTGTTGGAGCTCAAGGAGGACTTGAATTAAGGATTCTTCTGATAAGAGGAAGAACCCGAGACGCGACGGGTCGGGCGTGGCTAAGGTGGAGATAACGGAGACGGAAGAGACTGAGATTGCGGCTTGACCCGTATGTGTGAACCCGAACCGCTCGAAGAGGATCATAGCACGTGGATCGGAGGAGATTTTGAGGTTTTTTATCTCGCCGGTGGTAAATGAGACGAGACAAAGGAGGAGAAGCGGGAGGAGAAGGGGTAATTTCGTCATTTTGAAATGTTGACGCCGGCGAAGGGTAGATTTACGGGTGATCTGTGGAGGAGGAAAACGGCAACGCCGGCGAGGATAGGAGGAAGAGAGATGTGAGGGGATTTTGGCAGTAGTAAGGGGAGAACGAAAAGAAATGAATAGAGTAAGATTTACAGGAAGATATAAGGAAATGACGGAATTAACCTTTCAGGCCTTAGATCTGGATCTAGTTTGAAGAAAAGTAAACAATAGTCTTGATTCTGAAGTTACCAACCAATGTATTGAAAGGAGATTAAATATTTTGGCATTTTATAAAAAAGGAAATTTAAGTTATTATCCTAATAAGGTCAAACCACATTGTAAATATGAGATATTGAGAAACTACAAATCAGAGTTAAAGTTGAGACACTTACAAAATTTTGATTATTCTCAGCAGGAAATAGTAAGTTTAAATTGGATAATTAGTTCTATCCTAATTAGTTTGTACCTAATTTAACACACGTTAGAAACATTACATATTGTTGGTAACATAAACCTGTAGCATCTTGCTGTATTTCACCTTCTAGAATTATGTCCAGTTGTCCATAGTTAATTGCAAGTTGTCTTTGTTTCACATCTCGAGATTTTTTCAAAGTCCAAATGACGAGACCCAAGGGCATTTAAAGAAAACTTGTTAACAATATGAAACCATATGGAGATTATACTAATGGATAAGTCAATCCCATTCTTTTACACGTTAATCTCTTTTTTATTCTTTCAAAAATCTAAGTCTATTGAATCATCTAAAGTACTTAAACCAAACTTAATTAATTAAGCTTATAGGCCATGTAAACACCAATCGTCTAGTCTAGCGGTTTCCTCAAGGAAGTTTCCCATACCTTAATACTAACACAACAAATCCAGTATAATTCCATAAGTGCGTTTGGAGAAGATAGTATATATGCCGCCTTACCTTACGAAGGCATATATGTTGTTTTCGATAGATTTTCGGCTCAAGCAAAATACAACCACATCAATGTTTAAAAGAAATACAGTAGTGAAAAAACTATGAAAAAGAGGCAGTAACAACATCAAGATAATAAGATAATCGAACCAAGAGAAACAACATGTATTAATAAAAATCTAATGATAAGAAATACGACAATAATACTACAACTACTGGTATGGCAAAGAGATACGCTCGACTACCTACTAGCCTTCTACCCTAATTTTCGTTATTTATACCTTCCCATCAAGGGTCATGTCCTTTCTAAGCTGAAGTTGTGCCATATCCTACCTAATCACCTCCCTTAATACTTCTTAGGCCTATTTTTACCTCTCCTTAACCCACCAAGGCCAACCTGTCACACCCCATTACTGGAGCATTTGTGCATTTTTTTTTTCATATGCCCAAACCACCTCAGCCTCGCTTCCCACATCTTGTCTGCCACAGAAGCCACTCCCACTTTGCCCCCAATATATCCCTTCATAATCTTGTCTCTCCTAGTATCCCCACATATCCAACTCAATATCTTTATTTTCGTTACTTTCATCATTTGGACATGGGAGTTCTTGACTAGCCAACATTCCGCCTCATACAACATAGCCGGTCTAACAACCACTCTGTAGAACTTACCCTTAAGTCTTGGTAGTACCTTATTGTCACACAAGACACCGGATGCGAGGCTTCATTTCATCCACCCTTCTCCAATACGATGCATGATATCATCATCAATCTCCACATTACTGTAACGACCAACCGACCGTTTCGAGTATTTGCACTTCGCTCGGTAGTTTGAGGGCATGAGTAACTCCGTATGATGTATTATGACTTATGTGAATCGTCGGTTTTGGTTTTCAGGTTATTCGGAATCGATTTGGAAGAATGAATTTCATGATTTAAGTTTTAAGTTGGAAGAGTTGACCAAATTTGACTTTTATGAATTTGACCCCGAAACGAAGTTTTGAGGGCTCCGTTAGGTCCGGATGATGATTTTGGACTTGGGCGTATGCCCGGAGTTGCATTTGGATATTTCTAGAAGGATTCGACGCTAATTGGCGAAAGTTAAAAATTTGAAGGTTTGGAAAGTTCATAAGTTTGACCGAGAGTTGATTTTGATGATATCAGATTCGAATTGTAGTTCCGAAAATTGAAATAATTTCGTTATGTCATTTGGGACTTGTGTGCAAGATTTGGGTTCATTCCGAGTTGATTTATTATGTTTCGGCACGAGTTTTGGAAGTTTAAAAGTTCAAAGTTTATTAAGTTCGATTCGAGGTGCGATTCATCATTTCGATGTTGTTATGTGTGATTTGAGGCCTCGAGTAGGTCTGTATTATGTTACGGGACTTATTGGTATATTCGGACGGGGTCCTGAGGGGCTCGGGTGAGTTTCGGACAAGGTTTAGATCATTTCATCGCATATTGAATTGTTGCTAAGCTGCTAGTTCTGGTGTTCCGCACCTGCGACTGGTTTTGCGCAGGTGCAATGGCCGCAGAAGCAAGCCAGGCGCGTAGAAGCGAGAATGCACTGCTGGGCAGGAGTCAGCAAATGTAGAGGAATTTGCGCAGAAGCGCGACCGCATATGTTGTTCTGAGCATCGAAGAAGTGACCATTGGAGGGTCGAGGTTTTTCTCGCAAATGCTAGCCTTTTTCCGCAAAAGCGAAGGTCGCAGATGCGACCACTTGTCCGAAAATATGGAATTTGCTGGGCAGAACTATATATCGAGGTTTTTTGTTCTTTCATCATATTTTGAAACGTGGGACTCGGATTAAAACGGTTTTTGAAGCAAATTTCATCTCAAGGATTGGGGTAAGTGTTCTATACTTGGTTTTAATTATATTTCGTGATTCTATTTTTGTTTTTGGTAATTGGATTATGAATGATAAATAGAAATTGGGGGTTTTAACCTAAAGTTTCATAAAGTGAATTTTCGAGTTTTGAACATCAATTTGGAGTCGGATTTGAGTGAAATGTGACACACATGCTAGGTGACGGGTGTGTGGGCGTGCACCGTGTGAATTGTGACTCGGTTATTTCTGTGATACTGTGTAGTTACCTAATCTTATTTGTATCTATGAAATCTCTACGTGCTAGAGTAATTGAGCTGTGATCTATGTTAGAAACCATGTCTAGGCTATATACTTATCATGTTGGGACCCACTATGATCATTTGTGCTGTTGAGTTATTTGCTTTCATTGCAATTACATACTCAGTCATACGTATTCATTTACATATCATATCTTAGTCTCTGTTACCATTTATTGATACATCACATTATCATTTCGGGCTGATTTTTTATGACATTGTGAGCCCGAAAGACTGGAGAGATTGAAGATTGAGTGAGGCCGAAGGCTTGATGGTGAGGATATTGATGGGATCGGGCTGCACGCCGTAACATGTTTTATTGATTTATGTCATGATTGGCTTGTTATAGGGCTCCCCTTCTGAATTTGGAATTGTGATTCTCTATTTTTGTTGGTAAGTAGGAATTTATGACTCTTGGTTGGTTTTCCAAAAATTCATTCAATTCTCATCATCAGTACAAACTTCAAAGCTTTTGCTGAAAATCTTTGACGTGACATTTATATGTGTATCGTCACAACACCCAATAGATATCACAAAAACCATAAGAAAAACTTTACAAAATAGTCTGCTACTTTTCAAAGAGATAAATTAAGACACCGTCATAATAGTCTAGGTATCGACTTATATATATGTACGAAAATAAGAAAAACAAAAAATCAAGAGAGAATTTTCGGTTATCGTTTTTATTTCTCTCTCCAACCCCTCTTCAGCGCTGAGATCAATGTCGAATTGATCCACCTATAATTGAAGTTTGAAGATTTTCTGGGGTACATTTTTGTCACATTGACAATTTTCAATCTGTAAGTCTATTATATTTTCATGAATCCTTTGTTCCCATGCATTTCTATCGAAGGAATTCTCATTTGTGTTTTGTATTTTGAAGCTTATAGATGTTAGATGACCTTAAACATGTAATTTGCGGTAACATATTTATATGATCACACATTATTTTGCTTCTATATGTTGCATGCAGATGTTCTTGTTAAGCTTGGAAGTTATGTTTGTCACGTGGATTCTGGGATCAATATTAATTGGTCCGACTACATTGTAATATATCCTAAGTTTCTTTTGAGTTTTCAACTATTTAGTATCTGGGGTGAAAGTCATTAGGGGGGTGGAGAAAATGAATGTTGTTGGTAAAGTTAGCAGCTTTATAACACAAGGTGTGTACTCAGTTGCCACCCCATTTCATCCTTTTGGTGGAGCAGTTGACATAATTGTTGTGAAGCAGCAGGATGGAACTTTTAGGAGCACACCTTGGCATGTTCGATTCGGTAAATTTCAAGGTGTCCTTAAAGGGGCAGAAAAAGTTGTCCGAATTGAAGTTAACGGTGTAGAAGCTGGTTTTCACATGTATCTTGATAATTCTGGTGAAGCATATTTTATCAGAGAGGTTACCGCTGATAATGAGAGCGAAACAAATGGGGATTCAAAGGAATCTGGTAGTCAAAAAGGGGATAATGTTAACAACAAAGATATTATAAAGGATGGTGCTCTGTCCACACATGATAATAGTGACTCTAATGAAGCTGATTTACCATCGCGAGATGAAGGTGTGACATTGGGTAATGAGCTAGCGGAATTTGGTTCCAGGAGATATGAGAATTTGGATAATGTAGAGGAGGTGTTAGAATCACATGACTCCAGTTCTGAAGTTGTTATGGTGAGTGTGGATGGCCATATATTGACAGCACCAATCTCATCATCGGAAAGGAATGTGGAAGATGTCAAATTAGACACGCCTAGGTTTAATCTAGGCCCTGGTCAGGGGACAGATTTATTTGATGGTAACTCAGAGTTCATCACAGGTGAAGCTACATGGGCTGATGATTATTCGAGTGATCAGGAGACACCAAACGATGCTCCTGCAGATGCTTGCAGTGTGAAGAACGAGAGCAATACGGTTGAGCACCAGTTAAATGTTTCTGAAGTAGACGGTCAATTTAGAGTAAATTTGGATGTGAAGAACCAGGAAAATGGCCATGTGGAGGTTACATCATGTGGCAACAAGAAGGATAAGGTTTCTCCAGTGAAGATTCCGGAAGGGGTTGACGATTTGTTAAATCCTAGTACTGACCGTCCCTGCAGTTCTCCTTCACCAGATTTAAAGCTTCAATGTAACACCCTTCAGAAATGTGAGTCAGAGATTGATTGTAATGGTTCTGACGGCTCAATAGACCATCGTGCTGTTAGTGATAAACACCTAGAGGAACAGAATGATGTATCTTTAGCAGCTGAAAAAATAAAAAGTGACCAGCAAGAACCAGATGAATGTTCTCAATGTGAAAATGTGAAGCGTCTTATAGAAGCTTTTCTCAAAGGTACAAAAGCTGATTCAAACACAAGTAGGGTGTTCCTCTTGTTGTTAATTACAATTATAGCTTCACATTTAGTCTTTGATTTATTGCAACTTCTCATTAATTTCACTCTCTTATAGTAATAGCTACAGGAGTAGAGATATCTCTTTGTGGCAACTTGCTTTATGCTGGAATGGGTTCTAGTGCTGCAAGAGAAGCCTTTGATGCAAATCGCATATCTGAGGATGAATTCAGAAGTTCTTCAGCATCCATAATCAAGAACGAGAATTTAGTTGTCAGAATTCGAGGAAACTATTTTTCGTGGGATAGAGCTACTCCTATCATTCTTGGCATGGCCGAATGTGATATGGAATTGCCTGCTGAATGTGATGATGTCATACCTGTGGAACGGGAGGAGACCTCAAAATCGGGAGAGGATGATAGTGGGATCACTTCGGTTGCTTCTGGACGACAATGGACTCTCTGGCCAAATCCATTTAGAAGGGTTAAGACACTTGAGGACAGTAACTATAATTCATCAAATGAAGAGGTCTTTGTTGATTCTGAATCTAGCCCAATGTACCAGTCTATAGAACAAACAAATATCACCCAAGGAGGCAAGCAATCTCCTCAGGAGCAATTTGTGAGAACAAATATTCCCACTTCCGGTCAAATCACATCTTTGAACCTGAAGGAGGGGCAGAATATGGTAACCTTCATTTTCTTGACCCGAGTCCTAGGAGAGCAAAAGGTTTGTCGTCTTTCTTGCACTCAAAATATTTAGTTCTTATACTGTGGTCTACTGTATTTTTTGCTTTCTTATTTTCGATGCTCAAGCAACTTTCTAAAACAGGTTGAATCCCACCTATATTTGTGGAAGTGGAATGCACAAATAGTAATTTCTGATGTCGATGGGACTATTACCAAGTAAGATTTTGCACTAAAATTTTAACCTTCAAGATTCGTAGCTTTTACATGCTATCTAGGAGATTGTCTTTTGCATACTTGAACTTATAAGCCCTCTGAATTCATTAAAGATTTAATATATAAAAATAGGAGTTCCATCACATAATCGGGATGGGGTTGGTTATTTTTATTTTTTTGAACTGTGGCATAAGTAACAATGGAGTTGATTCTTGTTCTGCTTTTTCAGACAGCATATGGATTGTGCATTGTCTAATTTACTAGATTAGCTGAACATCTGACTGTGGTTGAATATTATTGCTTAATGCAGATTATAATCCTAAGGGGGCATTTGGTTTGGATTTAGGAGATATAATCTCCACATATAAATCAACATAAATTTATACAATGTTTTGGTCGGGATTTGAGGAGATTTAATCGCCGCATAGAAATCAGCATTACTTAATACAACGTTTGATTACTCTTTTTTGTTATCCTCATAGATAATACTTGCATAAGTTGTGCAGGAAGCTATGTATTATTTTATGCGGAATAAAATGTGGAATAAGATTTCGTTATTATTAATACTTGCACTAAAATGCTAAAATGACAGAAGTAACCCTCATAATAGTAATAAAATGTATATCTTGTTTGAAAAGTAAACAATGTTTTAATTATACATTGTAAACTAATATGTAATAATGGATATCAAACTAAACAGTAAACACTCAATAAGAAATAATCCATGCATTGTTCAATCCCTACATTACTAATCCATGCATTAGTAATCCTTACATTACTGTAGTACTAATCACTGCATTAATAATCCCTTTATAACTTGTCCCTAAACCAAACAACCCCTAAGAATCAGCCTATCATTAGCTGAACTACCCAAGAATAGCTATAACCTTAAGTTTATGAGCCTATCAATAAAGTCTGACAAAGTTAGATGCTGTAAAATTATCCGAAATAAGTAGAACTTAACTACCATCGATTTTTATGCATCTGTAGTTGAATTGTATAGCGAGCAGATTATTTGTGGGAGTTCCTATTGAGGAATGCACTGCTTTAAGCTTTATCTGACTATTATGTGAGAAATTTATGCTTAGTGGTCATTCTTTCTTTAGAAGTAAAAATGATAATCCAAATACCGTGTTTCTGTCAAATTTGACTATGGATGTGGATATCTATGATAACATACCTTTGAGGTACATGTTTCATGTCCAGGTCTGATGTTCTTGGTCAGTTTATGCCTTTGGTTGGGAAGGACTGGACACATTTTGGAACTGCCAGACTTTTCTCGGCAATCAAGGTACTTCTTTGTCTGATCCACATTTGAGATTTCGCATCCATATAGTCCATTATTTCTGTAAACCAGTATATGTACTTGTGTGTGTCTGTCTATGCAATGGCGGAGCTAGGATTTTCATTAAGGGGGGTCAAAATATAAATAAATAAACTCACCAAGAAGTCAAGGGGTATCAATACATAGTATATATACATATTTTTTTTATATTTACCTACACAATATAATTTTACGACGAAGGGGTGTCGGTTGACACCCCTTGAGTGCATGTGGCTCCGCCACTGTGTCTACATACATGCATATATATATATATGTGTATGTATACACATACATGCACACTTATGTATTTATCAATATATTTTCCAAATTGCTTACTTTCCAAGTAGATATAATTGTATGCCGAAGTTGAATGTGGCCTTATTTGAGGACTAAGAATCTGGTTTTTGGATTTATTCATGGACTAAGAATCTGGTTTTCAGAAAAAGTTCTTTATTATGCAAAAGTAGTGAATTTGCTTTTACTTACTGGGAGATGAGCTTCCTTAATTTCGGCTGTGATAACTGTTCCATTAGGAACCAGCTTACTATTCATCAACACCACCATATTATGATAACCGCTGTCTCTGCCTTTCTAAAACTACATTTTTATAATATGTAACAAGTCCCATGCAGTATGCCTCTATGAGATGCCATTCCTCGAGAAAATTAGCAGTTCTTGGGAATTCCTCTCTGAAATTCAGAGTGAATTGTGGTGGAATCTGTTTTATGTCATCTTTTTGAAAACCAATCATCAACATATGTCTAAGTATGATTCTTCTAATATTGTTATTTGTTACCTTCTCCGCTTTTATATTCTTCCATTTTCTTATTGTGCTTAAATGGATTATCATGAGTGGCTGACACAAATGAGGCTCAACATTTATGACCTTCCGCTTCTATTTTCACTTATATTGACCCGATTTCCTTAATAGTTTCTCATGGATACTTATCTTGATATGCATTAGCTTCTTAATCGCAGGAAAATGGGTATGAGCTTCTCTTTCTCAGTGCGCGTGCAATTGTTCAAGCATATCTGACCAAGAATTTCCTGTTTAATCTCAAACAGGTACTAGTATATGCATTCATGAGACATCAGCCACACCAGTTCTAGGCTTCTGAGTTATAGTGACATTTCCCCCAGATTCCCAGGGAAACAGTTAATTGAATTTTCCCCTTAACACATTTTCAAATATCTAGTTGGTCTCACAGTGCATTAGCTTGACCCGTATCTCTCACAACTTGGCCTTTTCTTTTACGTCGCTTATACTTTTTCTCCTACTATTCATTGTTCTCTCCCTGTGTGTGTGTGTTTCTTTTTTTCTCGGAGGAAAAGGAGAGGCATAGAGAATCATTTTGCTCCTGGTACTTGTCGTTCAGCTATATGCCACCTTGAGTTTCTTGGATGTGACCTCTGTTCATCTTGTCATTTCTTTGGGGGTTTGATTGTCCAATGGATCTCTCTGACTGTAAATGTTAAATGCTTTGTAGGACGGAAAGACCCTACCCAATGGACCTGTTGTGATTTCTCCTGACGGTTTATTTCCATCGTTGTACAGAGAAGGTAGGCCGCGTTCTTCTAATGTCTCCTCATGTTTGTAGTCTGAATCAAAGTGCTTGATCAGTGCATAAGAGTTGAACATGTTTCTTGATGTTTGGCTCTGATGAATGTATTTCAAAATCTTTGGCTTTCTTTACGGTATAATTTACTGACTTTTGCTGCAGACAATTACATTTTGAACAGCACATATGCTTAAAAAAAGCATATATGTTGCTTTGCCACAAAAAGAAAAAGGGCAAAATACATAAACCAAGCCTATAAAGTTTGCCTCAATTGTCAGTTTGACACTCCAACTTACCCAATGACCAGATAAACACATTTTCTTGGCATAAATGTATCTCATGCACAGTCGTGCTGATATGGCGAGGTGCATGTATTTCACTCAAATTTGAGTGCGTGAACCCCTTAAAACTTTTTGCCTTCTTCTCCACACTCTGACTTTTACATCCATTTCCCTACCTTCTTCAGCCTGCCATTAGCAGTAAAATAGCCATTAAGAACACACCCATACCCAGATATGTACCTAAATTAAAGAGGAGCTTTGTTGGAGTTAAGTTGCTTTCTCTCTGTACTTGTAGTTATCTAACATATACTCTCTTGAAAATTTACTACTCCTACATACTAAGCATATTTTAGGTGTATTTTCTGGTAAGATAATGAATATTTTGAGTACATGTTTTGAGCATAAAAGAATGCTTGTGAGCAATAATTAGCTCCAACATAGGCTCATCTGTTTTTCTGCTTATCACTCTATTTGGTACCATGTCATGGTTTTCAAAATTGAGTTTGAGTGCATGTTGAAGGGAACCACTTTCCTACTTTAAGAAGGAACACGTTTAAACTGATTTAATTTACTACTCCTTCTCTTTTCGTCGTGACAGTTATAAGAAGAGCTCCTCATGAATTCAAGATAGCCTGTTTAGAGGTATGCACCTCAAGCTGACACTTCTTCAGGTGGACTCCAATTCTTTTGAATCTTCCAGCGGTTGCCCTTTCTAATTTTGTTTTGTGCTTTTCAGGATATCAAAGCACTTTTCCCACAAGATTACAATCCATTTTATGCAGGCTTTGGGAATAGGGACACTGATGAATTCAGTTACAGAAAAATTGGGATTCCCAAAGGCAAAATTTTTATAATCAACCCAAAGGTTGGTAATCCCCGCCATATGCTTTTCTGTCGACTACAAGATTTATCGATTTAGTCTACACTGTTTGCCTAACATGTTGAAGTGGACTTTACAGGGGGAGGTATCAATTAATCATCAAATTGATGTGAAATCCTATACTTCATTGCACAGTCTTGTTGATGACATGTTCCCACCGACATCCAAGGTTGAGCAGGTAAGAAAATATTCACTCTGTTCTTGTTATATCGTCCTTGTTAGTTTGCATGTAATTCTAGTGTTAAAAAGACAAGATAATTGATACAATTTAGCTGTGCGATTGCAATGCTGTTTGAGTTAAGATTCATGCTCTAATAATAAATAGAGTTAAGCCATCCAATAAATTTGCTGCTGACATACTTAACATAGTCCGTCTATCGCTAACAACCTCTCTACCCCACCAGGGGAGGGGTAAGGTCTGCATACACACTACCCTTCCCAGACCCCATTTGTGGGATTATACTGGATTGTTGTTGTTGTTGTTATTGTTGATACTTAACATAGTCCGACGTTGCAATGAATGCATGGCACTCAGACCTTTTATTAAAGGGCAGCCCACTGCACAAAGTATCTCGCATTCATGCAGCGTCCGAGGAAGGGCCGCACCCCAAGGAGTGTGATGTAGACAGTCTACTTTAATGCAAGTATTAGTGGTTGTTTCCACGGCACGAACCCATGACATATAGGTCACACGAAAATAACTTTACGGTTGCTCCAAGGCCATTCATTCAGACCTTTTATTAGTTACACATATATTTCTGCATTTTCTACATTGTTTTAACACCTATAAAATCAAGTTAGAAAGAACACAATTTACGTGTATAGTTAATCTTTTTCTTTTTCCATTTTCCATTGCGAACCACCTTTTCATTTACTGATTATCTTGGAGATTTGACTAAATTTGTTGTTTACTAAATAGGCATCTTTGTTACATTGCTCTGGATTTTCATTCTGTGTGCAGGAAGATTTTAATGCATGGAACTTTTGGAAAATGCCCCTCTCAGATATAAATTACTTGTAGAGATTTGTTTTCACAAAGATGGATCTATTTTGTTGATCTGGAAAGTTGAAAACCTGTAATTAAGCCCAGTATACATCAATCACTTCTAGCTTTGTGAAAAAGAGGGCTGTCATTATTGATTTTTTGGTCTCGTATTCAGTGGCGGAGCCAGGATTTTCATCAAGGGGGGTCAAAAATCAAAATATAAAGAAATAAACTCACCAAGAAGTCAAGGCATGTCAATACATAGTATATATACATATTTTTTTAAAATTACCTAGTTATACAATGTAATTTTCCGACGAAGGGGACAACCCTTGAGTGCTTGTAGCTCCGCCACTGCTCGTATTAAGTGTATAAAAACAGTTTTGTACTCGCAATCAATTAATATTGTTATTTCATTTAAAGAATAAGGTCCTGAGGGAATAAAAATTGGCATTTGATGCCTCTTTCCACTATGCTGTGCTCTGCCCTTTCTTATTTTCTTTCTCAATGTTAGAATGTGCATTTCTGGCCCTATTACAGGGCATGTCACTTTAAACCAAATGAAAAAAAAAAAAAAAAATTTCCTGCAATCTATGGTTAGTAAGGATCTATATAAACAATACCAACTTATTTGGTACAGAGGCGTATCTCATGGTAAACAGCTTGTATATGTTTATTTTTTGGTTCAAGAGGAAAATATTTTCTATATTTCACCTTTTCAAAAAATGACCCTATACTTTCAAATCAAACTTCATTCAAATTTCAAATATTAAAAAATACATGGAATCTATGTCCAAACGCCTATTTAACGGAGAAATGTATAAACAACCATTCTTAGGGCTGCTATTTAGGGATTAGCTAGTAGAGTATTTGTTTTGTACTGTAAATTTAAACTAAAAATCTTGATTTTAAGATAACATGTGATATTTGTATCTAGAAAAAATTAAACCGATAGTAGGTATTGACTAATTTTTAAATAGCAGGCCGGGTATCTAGCGTTGTTTCTACTTAATATTATATGGCGCCGTGTAGCTCTCAAGTTAAAAATTGCTTCGGCTAATATAACATTTTTGGCAATTAACCGAGTTAACAGCTAACGGTCCAGAGCGAGAGCCTGAAATACTGCCTTTGGTCCCGCCAATGAATGATTCTCGGAATGGGCTATGGCAACAGAAAGATATCGCCCTCTCTCTGCTAAAGTCTTCACACAAGCTCACCACATTGAATCATCTAAAGTCTCTCCATGTATACCTCCTCCGCACCGGCCTTCACCACAGCAGTTTCGCCGTCGGCAACTTCATAACCTATTGCGCTTCTCTTGGAATCATGTCATATGCAGCCCAACTGTTCGATCAAATGTCCGAGCCAAATTCCTTTGTCTGGAATACCCTCATCAGAGGCTTCCAACAGAATCATTCCGCGAAAAATACCCTTTATTATTTTGATCAAATGCGGGCGCACGGTGTCCAGCCTGATAAATTCACATACCCTTTTGTCATTCGCGCTTGTTCGGATTTATTGGAGTTTGCCAAAGGACTAAGTCTTCATGGCCAGTTGTTTAAAATTGGAGTCCATTTTGATATCTTTGTGGGTACTAGTTTGATCGAATTTTATACTGGTATGGGGAACATGAGCATGACTAAAAAGGTTTTTGAGGAATTGCCGGTTAAAGATGAGGTAACATGGTATGCCATGTTATCTTGTTATGTTAACAAATTTAACGACATGGAAAAAGCTCGGGATTTGTTCGAGAAGATACCGTGTAAGGATCTTGTAATTTGGCATACCATAATTCTTGGGTATGTCAAAGCCGGGGACTTAGAACTAGCGAAATGGTATTTTGATAGAGCGCCTGTTAAGGATTTACTCATGTACAATACTATTTTAGGTTGCCTTGCCAAGAATGGCGAACTTGATTGTCTCTTGAGATTGTTCCATGAAATGCCTTTTAGGGATTTGGTATCTTGGAATACAGTAATTGGAGGGCTCGTACGTGATGGGAGGATTAATGAAGCTATGAGATTCTTCCATCAAATGGAAAGAGTGAATTTGTCGCCTGATGATGTTACCCTGGCGAGCTTGCTCTCTGCTTGTGCACAAGCTGGAGCTCTGGATACTGGGAAATGGTTGCACTCATATATTGATAGGAGGTATAATGAGTTAAATGCTGTGATTGGAACGGCATTGGTAGATATGTATTGCAAGTGTGGGGATTTGGAGAGTGCTGCATATGTCTTTGATAAGATGCCTGAACGTGATGTGGTAGCTTGGAGTGCAATGATCATGGGGTCCTCAATGAACGGGCAGAGTAGAACTGCATTGAACTTTTTTTACCGTATGAAAGATGAATCTGAAAGGCCAAATGATGCGACAATTTTGGGGGTTCTGTGTGCTTGTGTGCATGCAGGGTTGGTTGATGAGGGAAGGAAATGCTTTTATGGTATGTCTCAGAAGTTTGGTTTAACACCAAAGTTGGAGCATTATGGTTGTATGGTTGATCTCCTTGGTCGAGCTGGTTTGTTAGACGAGGCATATAATTTGATACAATCTATGCCATATGAACCACATACGGGTGCCTGGGGCGCCTTACTAGGTGCATGCAAGATACATGGAAATGTTGAGCTTGCTGAAAAGGCCATAGAACACTTGATCCAACTTGACCTTGAGGATGGGGGCTACCTAGCAATTATGTCAAACATATATGCCAATGCAGGAAGGTGGGAAGATGTCTCAAAAGTCCGAAAATTGATGAAAGTAAAAGGCATTGGTAAGTCGCGAGGGATTAGCTCCATTGAGGTTAATGGGGTAATACATGAATTTGGTGTCCAAGAGAAAAGACACCCTCAAGCCAGAGAAATCTATGATCTGATAGATGAAATCTATAGGCGACTCAAGAAGGCTGGCCATGTCGCGAGCACTAGTGAGGTATTTTTTGACGTCGAAGAGGAGGAAAAGGAAAAGGCTTTGTTTTTCCATAGTGAGAAAATGGCTGTTGCTTTTGGACTTATTGCAACTGATAAAAACACTATCATTCGTGTAGTGAAAAACCTTCGCATTTGCGCTGATTGCCATGCAGCTATGAAGCTGATTTCTGCTAGTTTTGAAAGAGAAATAATAATTAGGGACCGCCATCGTTTCCACCACTTCAAGAATGGTTTTTGCTCTTGTGGAGACTATTGGTGAATCTACAAATTCCTCTCCAGTTAACAAACAGTGCTGAAAGTTCGATGGTACAGGCATCCTAGTACCTAGGACAGGCTATGGAGCAAACAAATGTCATGGGTGGTTTTCAAGCCATGCCCCATGAGCCCCATGATCCTGGTTGCACCCCATGGCTCCTTGGCAAGCCTCCCAGATCCTAGTGCATGGACGGCCCCATGGCTCTGGCCGCGCTAATTGACAAGTGCACCTGCGACTATGTCGCACCACCCGTTGTGCACGCCCATTCCCGTAAGCAGGCAATGCCGGAAACGCCCATCAGTAGGCAGCATCCTTAACTCCAGCCTGTGCTCCGCTAGCAATCACTTGCCACATATCCCATGCTGTGTTCCCAGGCCCCACACGAAGTGCATACATGATAAAGTCAAAGACATGGACACAGCCCCTCCAAGTGTCGTAATGGACCAGCTTACTCTTCTGAGTCTGCCTTCGCATGATGCTATACAAGTTGCTCGGAGTCCTTTGAATAGGTCATATGGCCATTTCATACATAGCTTTACCTTCTTACTTTGTATAGCTTATATGGCACATTCTTGATGGTTTTTGTGCCAGCAGCATTACGAGGAATTATTTTGAAATTATCTAAGTGCTACTAAATCATAAGGGAAAAACATTCTCATGTACACAAGATGAAGGTACTTAAGCTTCTTTTTTGAGAGTTTTTTTTTTTGGCTCTAGCTTCTAAAGTACTTGTGCTTCTCTTTCTGTTGAAAATTTGTCAGATTCTTGTAGGATTAGTATTCAGTTAGTTTTCCAATTTTCTGTTTTCCACAATTACCATATTCTATCAAAAAATCAAGAAAAGATTTACAGCATTTTTCCTACAAAAGATGACACTCTGAGATCAAATGGAAAGAAATACACCAACAAACGAATAAGTCAAAATTTTATCGACGAATTTTTTTTTATGAGAAATGAAAAAAGAATACGGGACAATGCATATTTGCTTTAGTAGAAATTCAAATAATATGTACTTCTAACACAAACAAAAACCTTCTGCAGTAGTGCTTGTACTCAAGAATAATCAGAGCCACAATCAATTTTTCTGTGATTGCTTTCTCTTCTCTTCACCTATCATTATATTTCACCCCAAGTGCAAGAAAACAAGCCAGTTTTCAGAGATATATTCATTTACAACACTGCTGAGGTGAAGCTTCAGTATTTCCAGCACACACTTCCTGCAACAGATTACTATTCTTTGTATCTTGTTTGAGATAACAAACACACTCTGAAACCACTAGCTTGAATCAGAGTGCAAACATTGGATTAATTTCTGAATCGGATAATTCCGAGTGATGCCATGAGTTGGTTCTAGTCCTTGCAAACTTATCCCTCTTCCTGTTTTTGCTAGTCCTTTTAGACTTCACAACAAAATAAGTCATGGCGCCTAAAACCCCTGCCATGATAATTCCTGCAAAAACTGTAACAAGAATTGCAGCCCATATATTACGCCGGCCAATAACTACATAAGAGGCAGATACAAAAGCCAGAGTAGTGAAAACCGCGGCCAACCACATTAACTTGTTAATCACCCCAATAACCCTTATATCAGATTTTGTCTCACCCCTGACTACTGTGATTTGTACAACCACAACAGCCAACGATGTGAAGAGTGCAAGAGCATTTGTGATATAGAAGATCTTAAATGATGGGGTGTTAGACGCCACAGCGTACCCAGAGTCAAGGTCACCACCAGGAACTGTGAATATAGCAGCAAAAGCTACTGTTGCAAAAAGAGAAGCTACAATAGTTACAGAATTGGTAGCATTGTTAATTCCTTCCCTGTGCAGCTTCTGAAGTTCCTTTGCAATACCTGTCATGTTTTTGTTAGTCTTTCGCGCTTGTTCAAGCTGGGAGTGTACATTTTTCTTAATTTCTGTCACAGTCTTTCTAAGTTCATCGCGAGGCTGATTCAATTCGTTGGCTCTCGAAGCACCATAACGAGTCAAGCACTCTTTTAGTTCTGTCGATTCTTCAGACATAGGAAGCCCTTCGGCTATGTCTAGAGCTGTTTTATGATCTCTTGTCAGTGCATTGACATTTGTGTCGTCGAGCAGCAAAAGCTCGTGCACTATCTGCATTGATAAAAAGATGGATTAAAATAGCAGATTATGCCATCAGAAGAAGCTACACAATGCAATACTTTCCAGACAGAGGCGAATCCAGGATTTGAAGTTTATGAGTTCCTGTTGTAATCTCAAATTAATATAGAATAATAACTGAGTTCACAGTTAGATATTTATAGATATTTAGTGGATTTTTATTTATTTATATAAATACAGGGTCTATGCAAAAGTTACTGGATTCCCGGGAACCCATATACTATACTCTAAATCCGCTACTGTTTCTAGAGCTAAGGAAAACAAGATGCAAACACCAAAGCAACAACGCTTACCTCTGAACGCTTTTTCCGTGTGGCAATATGCAATGCAGTGTTGCCAAACTTATCAGGCAGCATTACAATGGCTGGATCTGCTTGCAGAAGCAACTTCACTACTTCACTGCTAACACCTTTTACAGCCATGTGTAAAGCAGTCTGTCCTTTTTTATCGGTTCTTCTTGCCAGTTGCGGATCCTTTTCCAGCAATGCTTTAACAATGTTCACATGGCCTTGGCGGGCAGACAAATGTAACGCGTTTTTGCCATTGGATCTTGGTATCTCTAGCAAGCTAGAATCCTTGGAAAGCAATTCATTGACAACCGATATATGCCCTTTTGTGGCTGCAGATACAAGAGGAGTTGCATTTGATTGGCCAACTGTCTTGCTCAACTCTGGCTCATGCTCCAATAGTAACTTAACAATAGCTGCACATACATTTTTCAGTAGTTAGGTTCTTCTCAGGCTTCAATGGACTATCTCCAACCTTCTCAACTACTTGATCAAATACTCAGAGAGACAAAATACGAGCTAAAATATCATTTCTAGGATAATGCCAATCAGGCCAAAATAATGCAGAGCAGTCCGGTGCACAAGACATCCCACATTCACGCAGGATTCGAGAAAGGGCCGCACACAAAGGGGTGTGATGTAGACAGTCTAATCTAATGCAAACATTAGTGGCTGCTTTCACTGCTCGAACCCATAGCCTATAGGTCACACAGAGACAACTTTACCGTTGTTCCAACGCTCCTCTACATGTTAAAAATGATGCATTGAAACTTAAAAACCAACTAATATAAACACCGTCACTGAAATGGACATTGAGCCTAATTTGACCTCAAAAACTAATTATGAGCTAAGAATTGTCTCAGAGAAGATTTTAGATGAGATGATCACACAGTTTTCGCTTGCCTAGTAACAACATCAAGCAATTCAATGCTCTTTAAGGAAAATTCTTCAAAGCCATAAACAAATGTTCATTACCTTGGTGGCCTTGGCTAGCAGCAATATGCAAGGGATCAAAACCAGAACGATTCTTGGTCGTGATCCCCTCCTTTGTACTATAAGGAAGCAACTCCTTAACCACGTCAATATATCCCCGTTCAGCAGCAGTGAACAATGCCGTTTCCCCTAATTCATTTACCTCATTCACCATTGCCTCCCTTATCGCCGCCACCTCTGCATCAAACTCTGCTCCGCTCATTGTTTTCAACATCTGTGCATCAATTTCCTCCAATATCTCCCTCACCGCCCCCACGTCCCCGCGCTGAGCCGCGAGGTGTAGCTCCGTGTCGTTGTGTCGCCCCGTCACCTGCTTCACATACTTTTTTTTACCTGAAGGATCTATCCTTTTCCCTGAATTTGATAAAAGTAATGCTTTCCCTGAATTTGACACAACCAATGCCTTCCCTGAATTTGATGGTATCAGAGACTTGCTTGAATGTGACACCACGAGTGCTGGTGCACGTGGCGATGGCGACGGTGATGGCTCGCCGGTATAATTCATGTTAGAAATTGGATTTGGGGCCGAAGTTAGCCCCATTTCCAAATCCATCTCACCTGAATCACGTAAATTCAAATACCATGCATTACGTACACAATATGTAATAATCTTATATTGTAACAATAATAACAACGTCTAAATCCCAAACTATCTGAATCTACTACTTTTTAAAAGCCTTTCTTGTTTTTTTAATGTCTTGCTTATCAAATTATTATTTAACAATATATAATCGTATCAATCAAATTTTTATATTTTTTTGGGAAAAATAAGTACGTTAAAAAAAGAAGAAAAAAATGTTGGTGCCATTACCTTGTTGGTTGATGGAAGCCAATGTATTTAGAAATTTTTTACGAGTCCATGAATGGATTTTTTAATTGTTTTTTTTTTTTTAAAGAATGGAGAATATTAGGGAGTTTTTGCTAAAGAGAAAGGCGGCAGCGGCTGACGGAAAAAGGGAAGAGGGCGACGCCGCCGGTGGTGATGGTGGTTAAAACGGTTGGAGTGAAATGATGTTGACGCCGCCGTACTGATTACCATATTCTTAACGACCAAAAGGTTCGGATTTTGTTTGTTTGTTTGTTATATTGGCTTCTAACTTTTGCTTGACTTTAGTGGTTATTAGAAGTACACATTTTAAGTAGTGGACTGTAATTACCAACTCATAATTTAATTTATATAAGAAAAGAAATTATCGTATTATCTTCATTTGAGAAAAAAAGGATGTTTATATAAGTATTAGTATTATAACCGTTTTTATCTTACTAATGAACAGAATATTTGAATAAAAGAAGAAAACTAGTCAAATTCGAAACTGTTTTAATAAGTCATCCTTGTAACAAAATAGGAGTATATTTAAGATTTATATTTGAAACAAAAATATAAAAGAAATTTTGAAAAGCCACTTTTTGAGTGTAATTAATTAGAGCATGCAATTACATACAATCTTATCCTCTTCTTACTTTTGGAAAGTCATATTCAATTGAATTCAGTGTAATTACACAATCTAGATAAGTTTGTTTCCCAAGAGGTACTCAAGAATAATAGAGAAAAATAAAATGTACTCTTGGGGAATTGTCTTCGGATCTTAGCAAAAAACTACTTAAACAAGAATATATAATTGAGTATGTGCAGTTGGTATTGGATCTATTACTTGAAAATTAAAAGAGGGAAGAAAAGGAAATATGAATTAATAAAGCACACGAGAAAGAAAAGAAAAATGGTTTTTCACGTTATGTTGATAGATAAGGAAAAGTATAGCTTATTTAACAAAACATCCGACCTACCGGATTCGAACCAGTGACCTAAGGATTGGCTGTGGGCATTTAAATCCCGACTACAGTCCTCCGCTCTACCAACTGAGCTAAGGTCGGATTGTGATTGTAATCTTCAATGTATTATTTATTTGTTAATTATCTACAGTTTCAACTTTTTCATGTTAGCAATCAACATTATTCCTTATAAAACTGGATAATCAATATTATCAATTTTCTTCTTTTCTCAGATTCCGTTTGAGAGTAATATTCTACTTTTCTTAATGACTTCAGAGGTTTCCAAGTCCTTTGGCAATAAAATAATTCTTCATTAAATCTTGATTAACTCGTGATCTTTTTCAGAAGTCTTTGTCAATAAAATAATTCTTCTTTCAAGTTTCAACTCTTGATTTCTTCCCAAACTAACTAAAATCCTAGATAAGGTCTCTATCTGAAGTTCTCAAGTCAACTTTCCTTTCCTTATTGATAATAGATTATTCATTAATTAATTGGTAATTAGGCTTGAGTAAACAAAGTTTAACAAGAAAGCTGATGGTTAACTCCACTTAAATGGGAACTCAGTCAAATGCTATATAAATGAGTGAAGCTTTGGAATATGGATTGAAAAGGAATTAGTAAGTACTCTTCATATATGAATGAAGCACATTGTTCCTAAATCAACAATAAAATGAAAACTTGATTTCCAATTAAAAGAAGTCTATAATGCTTCTTATAGAACAAGAAAGTAAACATTATTCAATTCGGGTAAATTTCATAAAAGGTCACACAATATAATTCTGACTTTTTTTAATCAAAGTTACATAACTTTGTTTTGTAACATTATTAATTATATACATCATTATTATTTCAGGTTGCTCCGTTAAAGTTCATCATTAAATATTTACAAATATAAAGGAGTAGAAAATTATTTATCATTTGTTCCTCATTTTTGGTCTGATCATCCAAATTTGCTTTGTTGTCTTTTATTTCAAAATTAGACATTTATAATATCAGCCATGACGCAAGTTTTTGAAATATCAGATGGTGTTGCGGAGATTAACATGATAATAGCTAGAAATTTTGGAATTTTTCTTTGTTTATTTCAAATAAAACCAAAGTTTGTACTTTGTTCCACCGAAAAAATATCATGTCATGCGTCTGCATACAATATGTCGATACTGCTTGAAAAATACGGCAAGATAAACATCAATTTGCAATTAATAAGAGTAAAGCACTATTTAGTTAAAACCTCAATTTGCATTAAAAAGTAAAGCATTAGTTAAAACCTCAATTTGCATTAAAGAGTAAAGCATTAGTTAAAACCTCAATTTGCATTAAAGAGTAAAGCATTAGTTAAAACCTTCGCTCCACTGAAGTGTGACTATAGAGTCAATACTGATTGCGTATACAAAATCTTATGTATAGTGAAAGGTGAAGATGTAATTAATTATCCTGATTGCAATCTTAATCACAATTGAAAGTTTGGAACTGTAGATTCGCATAAGATTTTCCATATCATTGCCTGCTGTAATTTAATGGTTATTGCATCATGCTTTAACGTTAAATTAAACACTTCTTCCTTATTCTATTGATAACAATCAGGTGTTAATTCAATATAATACCACTAACAGCTGGTTTATTGCTTTTATCAAACGTTGTTAAACAAATGTAAGTCTAAATAAAGGTCTCTATCTCGAATTCATCTTTCATTAACTTTTTACCAAGAGGAAATGACTTGCACGTATAGTCATAGTACTATTATATTTACGGAAAAATGACACTATATAGCCGTTCTAAAAAGAATAGCCGAAAAAATACATATTTTTTGTATATATATACATTCTGTATGTTATATACAAAAATTATACAAATTTTATACATTTTTTTGGCTACCATATATAAATAGTTTCTGGGGCGGGCTAAAAGCGAAAAAAACCCTATATTTATTATGGTATCATTTTCTCTAATATTGGGATTATATATAGGCCAAAAGAAAGCCTAGAAAAGTACAGAAGTACCAACAAATACATCTCTTTTGCTTGCGAATGGAGTTTCAGTTTCCATTCAACTTAACTTTCTTATTCCTTTTCCTATATCATTCTTCTTTCTAATACTAAGTAAATGGAAAAAATCAAAAAACTTAAGCAAGAAACTGCCTCCAGGTCCGTGGAAGTTGCCAATTTTAGGAAGTATCCATCACTTGGCATTGGAAGGTGGACTTCCCCACCATGCACTTGCAAACTTGGCCAGAAAATACGGGCCTGATCTCATGCACCTTCAACTAGGTGAAATTTCTACAGTCGTGGTTACTTCTCTCGACATGGCAAGAGAGATACTAAAAACTCATGACCTCGCTTTTGCATCGAGGCCTAAACTATTGTCCCTCGAGATAATATTTTACAAGAGCACAGACATTGCATTTAGTGCTTACGGTGATTACTGGAGACAAATGCGCAAAGTCGCTGTCTTGGAACTGCTCTCTGCCAAGAATGTTCGGTCCTTTACTTCTATTAGGCGTGACGAGGCTTCTTGTCTCGTACAAATTATCCGGTCATCGCCAACCGACGAGCCAATAAATGTTACTGTAAGGATCTTGACCTGCAAAGCAGCATTTGGAGAATTGTTGAAAAACCAAAAAAAGTTCATTCTAATAGTAAGGGAATTGGCAGAATTAACAGGTGGCTTATTAGTGTGGCTGACATTTTCCCTTCAATCAAGATACTTCATTTGCTAAGTGGAATGAGGGGTAGAATTTTGAGTACTCACAAAAGAGTAGATGTTATTGTTGAGGATGTTATGAATGAGCATAAAAAGAATCTTGCAAGTGGTAAAACAGGCAATGGTGCATTAGGAGGTGAAGATCTAGTTGATGTTTTACTAAGACTAAAGGAGAGTGGGGAACTTCACATCCCAATCACCAATGACAACATCAAAGCAGTTATGATTGTAAGTTTTCTTACTTACAGGGAAAATCTTCAAATTATTCTTATTACCAAGAAAATCACGGGTTTTCTTTTCTTTCGTTTTGTTTCAAAATAACCAAGCCAAACCATGAAGCTAAACAAATCTATCCTAGTAATTAAACAGAATTTCTTCTACGGAATTACAAGCTAGTTACCAACAAGTACTGTGAAGGTTTTGAGTTTGAGACTTGATAATAAAGAATACCGGGACATTTTCCTCTTTAATGGGCTTTTTTTAAACCAAGTCAAATAGTTATGCTAAACGAATTTCTCCTAGTCAAGAGGGTTTCTTTCATTAATGGAATTACAAGTGACCAACATAATTGACATATATTGTTAGTTAGATGGAAGTGGAGCCTTGGCGTAACTGGTAAAGTTGTTGTCATGTGACCAGGAGGTCACGGGTTAGAGCCGTGGAGACAGCCTCTTGCAGAAATATGCAGGGTAAGGTTGCGTACGATAGACCCTTGTGCTCAGACCCTTAGCGCAATCGGGCTGCCCTTTTTATTGTTAGTTAGATGTATAAAATATTACTGCATAATATAATAACCACTTAGTTGAATAAACTATTCACCTAATATTGAGGAAATTGAACCTAAGGCTTTAAAAATTCCTCGGCCTTTCAGGACATGAACACATGTAACAAGAAACTAGCTATTTGATTTTCTAGACAATAAAATAACTTACTAAAGCATGCCTTGAACTTTTGATAAGTACTGCCTTATTTGATATATTAAATAAACTCATTCTTTATTAATTTTTAATAAATGTAGGACCTGTTCTCTGCTGGAACAGAAACTTCAACATCAACAACAATATGGGCGATGACAGAAATGATGAGGAACCCAAGGGTGTTTGCAAAGGCACAAGCTGAGATAAGAGAAGCATTCAAAGGAAAAGAAACATTCGATGAGGACGAGATTGAGGAGTTGAAATACCTAAAACAGGTTGTTAAAGAAACCTTGAGACTTCATCCTCCACTCCCGCTTTTGGTTCCAAGAGAGTGTAGGGAAGAAACAAACATCAATGGATACACTATCCCATTAAAAACAAGAGTCATGGTTAATGTTTGGGCAATTGGAAAGGATCCAAAGTATTGGGAAGACGCATAAGATTTTAAGCCGGAGAGATTTGAGCAGAGCTCTGTGGATTTCATGGGGAATAACTTTGAGTATCTTCCTTTTGGTGCCGGAAGGAGAATGTGTCCTGGAATTTCATTTGGTTTAATAAATGTTCACCTTCCAATAGCTAAATTGCTCTATCATTTTGACTGGAAACTCCCTGATGGTGTCAAACCTGAGGATTTGGACATGACGGAATTTACTGCAATAA